AAGTTGAACCTCCATTCCCATTCTTTTCCTGCTGAAATTGTAATATGCTAAGTTAATCACATAAGCCTTTCTCTTTAGGCCTCTCAATTCTTATTTCTTTTCCTGTTTACCTGCTTTCATTGCTGTTTCAGTCCCCTTTGTTTATTCTAGGAGACATTACTGACTCACATCATCCCTTTTCTCCAGACTTCCTCCGTAAACCCGGTGCCTGTCATCCCTCTTGCCTCTCACTCTCCCAGCGTAGGTGTTTTCCTCATGGTTGAAGTTCATTCTCTCAGGATTTCCCTTGATGATGGTGTGCTAGGGCAAGCACTTCAGTGTTTGGTGGTATAAAAGTATTCTCTCACCTAATCCAGAAAGGGCTAGACAAAGAATGGATGTCACAGGAAAAGATCAGCATACCAGGGTTGAGGGGAAATGACAGAGACAGTGTGGGAGGTGGTGAGTGGTAGATCTGAGTGCTTCCTGTGTGAAATGGGCCTCCCAACAGTGTCCGTCTCTTCCCCTCTTCCTGTGGAGGTAACTGTTCTTCATGCCCTGGTAGGAAAGCCAGTGCCTGCGATTTAGTCCTCCTCCCTCATGATCTGGAACATTCCTCCCCCAGTCCTGCCTGTGTGAACACAGGATGGGCCTAGCCTGTCACTCGTATGTCATGATTTGAGCTCTGCTGCTTCACCTCACTGAGGGGCAATGTCCTGAGTGATGGAACAGAATTGTCCAGAGCCCCCAGCCATCCCTTTACTTCCACAGGAGCTAGGAAGCCCAGTTGATTTAAACTGCCACCCAGTTTTTGTGGTGTTATGACATAGGTATCGTCGTTGCTTGGGTTAAGCCACAGCTCCATGTGCTGAGTACCTGTTTAGTGAATACCAGGGCCAGGAGCCACGCCCACACTCTGCCCTCCCTCCCAGTGCCCTTGGGCCTGTCCTGCCGCTGAGCTGGGCAGAGCCCCACAGATACCCATACCTCAGCAAACCACGCACTGATTGTTAGTAAAGGGCAAGTGAAGAGTAAGAGATAGCAGTTTCTGCTAGGACTGGGTAGCCAACAACATGCAGTTGGGAGACATCTGCTTCTGCTGTTTCATCAAATTTTTGTGCAATGGGTAATTCCTCCAGTTATCACATTTGATGTAGACTAAAACAGTGAGGGTTCGCGGGTACTGCTTACTTGGGGATCATTACCCCTCAGGAGCAGTGTAGCTGCCAATTGGCTGTTTGGACAGGCGTGGTAAAGCCTGCCGGGGTTTCTTCCGTACTGACAGCAGTGAGCCAAAACACCCAGGCTCTTGGCGAATTAGGGTCTGCTGGATACATAGGTTATTACCGTAACTTGAAAATTAGAAAAGACAACTTTGAGGTGCAATATGTAACCATTTACCATTTATTTCAAGCTGCAAATTTGTTCATGTTTTAACATCTGATTTACAATTGATGAGGTGTTAGCTTTTATTAAATTTAGTAAGGAAAGCCATGGTTCTGGATTTCGTAATACAGTATTACTGCATACTTTGAGAAGTTTTTTTTAATATCAGTGGTTTTTAAATATTAACACACCATTTACTCCTCATATTCTGCCTTCAAATTTCACTACCCTGCACCCAGGGTAAGAACCTTATAACCATGTAACTGTGTTTCTCCCGTCTCAGCCCCGCGCTGTGTACACCCTGTAACATGTTACCAACCCAGCACCATTCTCACTACTTTGTTTCCACCTAAGAGAATTGTTTACTCACTTAGTGACTATCTACAGTCTTTTAATCTCTTGTTCTATTTCCGGAAGGACTTTCACATTTCTCTTAGCACAGATCAACTAGTGTTTGAAAATGTCTTTGTTACATTTTCATTGTTTCAGTTGAGAGGTGTTTGGTGCATTTAGAATGAGGATAGTAGTAATCCAGCGATTCAGTGGATGTGTCTGTTGTGGGAGAGAGCCACTGACATCTGGTTTGTTTCACACCAAGCATGTTATTGTTTTCCTCATGATGAGAACTTTCAGGATCGATTCTCCTAACAGCCTTCACACAGGCAACACCGTCTTAGCAGTGCACCCTGCTATCCATTATTACATGCCCAGTACTTCCTTTCTCAGAATTGGAGGGTCATAGCTTTTGTCCCTTCCCCTTGTCACCCACCTCCACTCTAGCCTGTGACTATCACTAGTCTGTTCTCCTCATCCGTGCCTTGGGTTTTTGCTTGTTGTTTTTTAGACTCCATGTGTCAGATCTTGCTGTATTCATCTGTCTCTGTCTGACTTGCAAGCGGATCACCACAATAGGTCTAGTTAACATCCATTACTCCCCATAATGATCTTATTTTCGCACTTTTATTTTCAAAAGATGTTTTGCAGGTGTAGAATCTTACCTGCTTTAGTCATTTTAGGCAGGAGGACTAGTCTAGCCCTGGTACCCAATCTTGGCTGGACATGGATGTCCTCTCTCAGACCCTTCACTCGACCCTCACATGCCTGCATATACAATACAGGCCGCACCCCACCCCACCCCACCCCCCATGTCGGGCCATAGACAGCTGGTGCTTGTGAAGGGCAAGGGCCACTCGCCCACACAGATTCGCTCCCGATTCTGCTTCCTGAACTTCACCGCAGCACTGTCCCAGTAAAATGGAGAACTCTGACTGCCTTCCAACACTGTTTTTCCTTTGTGGAAATGTGTTTGCAAAGCCACACCTGCTGCTTTGTGGCTACTAGACACGTTCTCTTAGATTCAGAAGTGCCACTAGAGGTGATGGAGAAGATCCCACCTTTGCGTGTACCTGTGCCCAGCCTCCCCTGTCACTTTGCAGATGAGGAACTGGGCTGGGTCGTGAAGGACCTTTCTCAAACCTACATCTGGAGGTTCAGGATGCCACACGGGAGATCAAGATGGAGCCATCAGCTGTGGTGATTCTCTGGCCGACTTGGCATTTCCGGTTAGCTTGTTTTTGGAAAGACAGCTTTTACTGAGCTGGGAGGAGCTTGTTTACTGTCTGCCCTTTTGTGTGTGCGTGCATGTGTGTAAAGACATATCCATACATTACTTCTTGCATTTAAGATAAGCTACTAGGGTGTGGGAACCCAATGGACTGTTTGTGCTTTGGGGGTGGGGTGGGGTGCTGGTGTACACCTGAAGTAGTGTGACCCTTTACCCCTAAATCATATGTAGTATTGTGAACCAGTGTTCCTCCATGTCAGTCATGCATTCACACCTGGGGTCGCCCTCATTGCGAGGAGATCACTGTGCTGCGTGGAGAAGGGTTAAGGCCTCTGAACATGGAGCCTTGTTCCAATTTTAGTGTGGCGCTTCCAGGTGGGAAGTCACCTGTGGGCAGCAGAGCCTGTCTGCAAAGTTGTTTTGGATGTAGAAAGGTACTGATAGACCTTCATAGATAACAGATATCAGCTTCAGCTGGACACTGTACGTGCTGTCTGTCAAGAGCTGTAGTCGGACAGCGTGAGAGTCTAAATGCAGCTGTGTAGAGATTATTCCAGAGTACTCCATTACCTGCTTCTGTTTATTCTTTTTAATGTGTCAAGGAGCATATTCTCTACTGATACTTTAGCCAAATGTTCTAAAAGATATACTATTACAGATACAGCTAACCATTTATACTTGGAACTTTTTTTTAACTTATGAAAATTTTTAAACCATGAGAATAAAATATGTATAAGGAATAACCATGTATCCATCAAATAGATTTAATGATTATTATAAAATTGCTTAAAATAGTTTATGCACTACTTTCTTCACTGAAGTATTTCCAAGTAAAATACAGACCAAAAAAACTACAAGTGACCCTTTGTGGTGGTGCATGGGGTTAAGTCTCAGCACTCTGAGGCTGATGGAGGCCACTGCAGCATGATTTCGATCCCTGGCCAGGGAACTGACCCACAGGGCACTGCAGACCTCTCCTGACCCGCCCGCTGCTCCCCTCAACAGTGTATTTCAGTGGATCTGCCTGTTCTGCTCCCCCCTCTACACCGCTGGCCTACACCCCAGCTCTTATATGCATAAATAAATAAAATAAATCTTTTTTTAAAAAAGTGTTTTCAGGTGCTTGTTTGCTGATAGAATTGTTGGAGCAAAGGTTCAAGAACTGCATGCTTGCTTCTGGTTTTTATTCCAGCTCGCTGTGGCTTTTGGCATTTAGTGATGTCATTCTCTGCTGGTGCTGGTATTTTCTCGGATCAGGCTAAGTGAGGTGGCCCTTAGGCCACCCCGACAAGTAGGATGAGCTGATCACAGTACTCCTGGGCCTGTTTGCTACCAGGTTGCGTCAGGACACAGCAAGGAGAGACTTGATGGGGATTTCGGGGAGAAAACCTCATGTTCAAGAGCCGCCAGAAGTAGTAGCCAGTGTATTTTTCAGAGTCTAAGAAGTACTTTCACTATGCAAAAATGCAGAGGCTAATCATTAATAAGAAAAAGATAACAGAACAACTGCCAGTAAAACCATGCTCAAGGACGATCCTTGTGCCAGCCACCCTTTGCCCCCAGTGCTGAAACTCCCTGAGAACCTTCTGGGGTGCACTTCCTCCCACCCTGCCTTCTCAGAAGGAACCCACGCCAAGAATTTGGTATTGACGTTCCCTGTGCAGGCATGTGGGCTGTGCTGTCCACGCACGGACTCCTGCAGGACATGGACGGATGGACGCACCTGCCTCCCCCCTGGCTGAGCGCTGTCGTGGACGGTGGGACCTTCCCCTGCCTTGATCGTCTCTGTTTTCTTTGTGAGGCTCTTTGGTGCGGTAGAGCAAGTCTAGCTATTCTTGGTTGTGTAGGGTTCTGCTTTGTAAATCAGTGAATATTTATAGGCTTTTTATTGAAATCACACTGCTGTGAATGTTTTTCATGAGGTCTCTGTACTAAAACCCTCTGGGGTCAACGCCCATGAGCAGAAGTGCTGGGTTGCTGGCTATATCTATCCTCAGCCTCACCAGTCATTGCCAGATTGTTCTGTTTTGCAGTTATTGTATCATTGAGTCTGATTTTTTTTTTCTTTCAGTGCCTGAAGACCTTTCATTAGAAGAAAGGGAAGAACTTTTAGATATTCGTCGGAGGAAAAAGGAACTGATTGATGACATTGAGGTAAAAAAAATTCCCCTCTGTTTTTGCTTTGGGCTAAAATGGTAAATCAAGTAGCTTCATAAAAATGTAAAAAGTGGGTATTTAGTGTGTGTATATCTGAACTAGTGTGCGGAGACACAAGGTGAAAGTTGGTAATGCTGAGATGGGGCTTATTACCAGGCAGTATAGACTCCGGGATGGGCCCAGCACACCTTGGAACTGGAGTAGCAGAAGACCCCCAAGGCACAGCGCAGTTGAAAAAGCCAGCAACAATCTCTAACATGTTGCTGTCTGATACTAAGGGGCCCTGTTTCATTCACCAGTCAGTGCCCCGGCACTAGGCCCTGCCCGCTCGCCAGTGCTCTAGTTCCTAGAACATTGCCTGTCACGTTTCTGGCACTTGGAGTCTTTTGATGGATGATTTAACACAGTGAGACCCCGCTGTGTGCTGAGTGTTTGCTAGCTGTTGGGAGCAGAATGACAAGTAAAACAGATGACTTCACGTACACAGGCAAATAAACACTGTGCTTTCCACGTTTGTGTACGGGGCTGCAAGAGGACCGGCCGGTCTCAGGCCCCGTGTCTTTGAGGTCTGGGACAATCACTCCAGAGACTGGCACTGCCCCTCTCAGGCCTTCCTTGGGAAAGTCAGTCTGACCTGTGGCTCTTCTTCCAGTGGCTTCTAATCATTGTCGTGCCAAAATAAATGCGGCCTCGTAGACCACATACTGCAAGACCAGCCCCTGAACAGACAATAACTCCTTTCTAGGAGCTGGCATTTAGAGCCTGCAGTTTCTTGGCACACAAAATTACAGGGTTCTGAATAAAAATCTTTGTATTTGAAAGATAATCCCTGGAACTTTTCCTTCTGAGGTTACCCTTTATCCTTGGGCAAATCACATTTCCCAGAATAGGTGTTTTGGTTGAACAGCCCCAAGCACTTCATTTTTGAGTTGAAAACGCTGAGGTGCAGAGAGGGTAAGAGAGTCACCAAGGGTCTTAGTCAGGACATGGTGGAGCCTGTTCCTGTGTGGTTCTGGGTGCCTGACACCACAGGTGAGACCCTTCTGGGCTCTGTCCATGGTGCTGCATCGCATACACTTGATTGAGGCCACCTGGATACTGATCTAAAAGACAGCGTGCAAGCTGACCATAGAGCTGAGGCCCACAGCAGGGCGGGGGAGTGAGGGGTCAGAACAGGGCACAGGGGCTGTGTGGTGGGAGAACTCTGGGCAGAACCTGAAGGGAGAAGCCAAATACTGTTCAGAATGAACAATGATGTAAGAACATAATAATAAAATACACGTTAACACTTCAGCTGCCTTCCCAGTCTTGCCAAGAACTTAGGTTGCGCTAAGGGAGATGGCAGGTGTGTGTGAGGTGACGCTCAGTCACTGACCTTCTTCCATTGTTTTTATCTGTCTTACACCTGTGAAGTCCTCCCAATGTTCCCCTTTGATTTTTCCCTGAAAACACTAGAGAGGAGGTAGCCCAGCTAATTTCGTTTCCCCCTGAGTTGGGGTGTCTCTGGCTACAAAGTGGATGTGCGTAAACAGTCTTGCTTTTCCAAGCCTGAGATGTCCAGGTGAGCCCTCAGGAAGCAGTAACCGGGCAGGCTGCCTTTTCTGTCATCTGCGAGGTGGAGGTAAAGACCCTCCACCCCCGAACCGCTTTCCTTTTTCTTGACAGAGGCTGAAATACGAAATTGCTGAAGTGATGACAGAGATTGACAATCTGACTTCAGTGGAGGAGAGGTAAGCCCCTTCGCCACTGTTTATCCTGTCATCCTGTTGAGCTCGTGCACACTGGGGTAACGGCGGCCGCAGGAGGCGAGGGGTGGGGGTCAGAGTCGCAGTTTCCCTTGCTCCACTTTGTGGAGGGTTCAGGGCCACCTCTCTGGGGGCTGCTTTTCTCCCAGGAGTGCAGCCTTTCTGTATAATGGGGAACTGCGCTTTTCTTAAATTGCTGTTTCTCATGGTGAACTTGAGTTACCGAGCACGAGTGAGAGCATGGCCAGTGTGCGGTGCTGCTGCCCCGGGAGGCTCTGTGCGGTCAGTGCTTCTCTGTGCGTCAGAGACGAGTCGGGGCTGTGGCCACGGAGCCTGGGGCTGTGCGTGCAGTTGCGTGTGCTGTTGACTGGTAACGAGTCCTTCATCACTTCACGTGCACAGCAAAACGACTCAGAGGAACAAGCAGATAGCGATGGGAAGAAAGAAGTTCAACATGGATCCCAAAAAGGTAAGAGGACATCGTCAGAGGTGGATGGACGGACAGATTTTCATGGCTCGTTCCCTTTTGGACAACAGTGGCCATGTCAGCTCATAAATTACTGAAAGTTGATGTTAATTTTTTGTTGTTGTTGTTAGCAAAAAAAGAGGCTGCTGATGAGTGCGGGGAAGCAAAATCATCCCTCCGAGCCAGTCTCTGGGCCTCAGAGTGGGAACTGCCCGCACCCTCACTCTGGTGCCTCTGTGACACCAGGTGGCGCTGGCCCTGGGCTGGGGCTTGCAGGGTTTGGCAGCAGCGGAAGGAGAGTGGATCTAGTGTGCGGTGTAGACTTTGTGGTCGGAGTGAGTTAAATGGTTCAAGTAAGGGCCCCTATTCCCTTTATAACGGGAGATGTCTCTATGGAAACCAGTATTTAGGTCTTCCTCGAGGTGGGTTTTCTAGGAAACACCTGAAAACAATGAGACCTGCAGCATGTGGCTGCTTGTTTTTGAAGTTGAGCTAAAGGATCGGTAAGGCTTTTTGGAACATGGGGCTCCGTTGGAACCCCGTTTTGATTTTAAGAAAGCAGCAGCAGACTTGAGTCAGTCATGAGGAGTGTTGGTGGCCCTGGAGGGAGGAGGAGGATGGCCTCACCCGGTCCCCACTGGCCTCTAGTCAGTGTTCAGTGCAGCTGCTCCCTCTTTATTTTTCTTTATTTTTCGGCATCGAGCCTCTGTTCTAATTAGTCAATTATTTGTTCATTCAAAAAATGTTTGCTAATTACAGGAATTACACTGTGCAAGGTCTAAGATCTGTAAACTTGGCATTTGAGGTGCAAGCACAGTTGAGAGTGATATTTAAAGAAACGCATATGGTTATTCCCGATTCCTGCTTTGCAAATGTGGAGTTTGTTAGTGCACAGCACATGGAGGGCAGGAGTCTTTGTTTAACTGATGTGCCACAGCCACCGTGAGTCTCCCTGTTGCTTCCTGATGACCTGCCTACCTGCCTACTGGATAAATCACTTCTGAGAGGGGTGAAATTGCTGATAGAATGATTTTGTAAGTTTGGGAGTGACTCATTTGGGATACTTTGGGATACTCATTTGGGATTCGAAACAGATACTTTTTCTTTTTTGGAGTTTGCAGAGTTGAACTATCAGCAGCTCTAGTAACCATTGGACCTCTCTCAGGAGAAAGTGGATATTTTAGCAAGTGGATTTTTTAAAACCAGACCTTAGGTATTAAGGTGCAGGACAGAGCAGCACACGAGTTGGCGCCTGGGCACCTGCAGGTTCTGCCAGCTGGCGCTCAGGAGGCGCGCACACACACCCAGACGCGCGCACGCTCACAGAGAGGCAGACACAGCTCTACGTGGTACTGACTCTGCAGGCAGAGCCAAGGACGCCTCTAGCTAGCTGCTTGCCTGTCGTCTGTTGCATACAATAATGCGTCAGCTTTCCCGGGGCTGACTTGTGTAGGGACTGTGGAGTAAGCCTTTAGTCCTCCAGCAGCCATCTGAGGTAGGCTCTATTTTAATTCCAATTTCATGAGTGGGGAAAATTAGGCACAGAGCAGCCAAGCTGGACCCGGGTCCGGAGCAGGGACTCCCACTCAGAGACTCATGCTGTGACCACTGCACTTCTCTGAGCTTTTGCAGGACTCAGGTGACCCCGAGTCCAGCCTGCAACCCTCAGACCACTCTTCAGCTCTCTGGCCTCTGCTTAGCCCGTCTGAGGAAATGTGTGCTTCTGCTTCTCCTGGGCTGTGGCAAATTGTCCCGTGTGCACTCTTCTGCACCTCAGAGATCTTAAAATACAGTCTGCTCAGCAACTAGTTTGTAATTCTGTTGCTCGATAAAAGCAGATGGCACATTTAGTCTGCATGTGACCCGTTGCTGGGGAAATGATCACAGTTTTCTGGTTTACCAGAGTTGGTTATAGCATTAATCTTAGCTTGGGCTAACTTAACAAAATAGTATAGACTGGGTGGTTTAAGCAACAGAAATTACTTTTCTAACAGTTCTGAAGGCTGGAAGTCTGAGATCAGGGTGTCCCCTGGTTAAGCTCCGGGGCAGGAGGAGACAGTTGCTCTTTGGTGCTTTCCATAATGGCATTAACCCATCAGACCAGAACCCCACATGGCCTCGTCTGATCCTCATCACCTCCCAAAGGCCGCCCCTTTCCACTTAGTGCATAAAATTTCACCTTAGAGCTTCAATGTAGACATTTTCAGGGTATATAAACATTTAGACAATAATAGCACTGGATGATCTCACGTGTCTTGGCCGCAATTCCAAATTACATTTACTCTTGACCTCTTGAACCTATTAAACCATGTGGCTTTGTGAAATTGAGGCTATTGTCAGAGTCAGTACAAGCTAGTAGGAAATTTTTTGTCACTGAATGATAACATTTTGAGCAAGGAGCTTTGGTTTGTTCAGGTACATTAGATGCCAGATACAGTGGGTTTATAAATAATAAGAGGAAAGTTGATTAGATCAAGGGAGGGAGGTTGGCATGCAAAGTCTACATCCTCTCCCATTTATTCCCAATTTCCTAGAAATGCCTTTATGTAAGATATAAATCTCTAGCAAGCAGGAGTTCATTCAGTGGATGAGAAACGAAGGAATATGAAAGCAACAGCCTGAAGCACATACAGGAAAGAACCAGGAGGAGGGGTGCAGATTTGGCCAGACTGAGGGGGGGTGTCTAGTCCGCACACCTGCCCTGGGTGCTCTGAGCAGCGGTGTGTGCCCCAGGCGGGAGCAGCCGAGGAGACACCGTGGGGACAGTGCCTTCATGGCTGGCGTCCTGTCAGCCATCTGCCAGCCCCGAGCCCGGCCGCGTGCACCCCTCCTTGGGTAGGTCTCTGGAAGCAGATACTGTGAAAACCAGAATCTAACAGCATTTGGTGAGGCTACAGCAGGTCTTAAATACAAAGATGTGACCAAATGCGGGAGGAAACCAGCACCGTGAAAGAGACATGAGGTGCGACAAGCAGAACACAGGCTGGGCAACAGACCCCAGCAGAAGGACATGTTAAGTGGACCGGCTCTCCATTGTATAAATGCCACCAGGAGTGTGGTAGGGTGATGCTTATCCATGATAAAATTGCAGGGAGTTGTGAGAAAAATCCTTAGAAACAAAAATGAGGGGTGTCACATGGAAGCCCAAGGACTGGCGGTGACAAGGAAGGCGGGGGTGGGGGGATGTGAACCCTGAGCTGGGAGGTGGAGCTGGATCATGATCTCCAAGCCTCTGCCCAGAACGACTGCCAGGTCTCACAGCTCAGATGTCATTTCATAGAAGCCCCAGGAGGAATAGTGGAGGGACATGGAGGAAATATTTCAAAGAAATAGTGAAATATTTCAGAACTAAATTACGATAAAAACCTCAGTTCCAAAAAGTTCACCAAATGCCAAGCAGGATAATTTTTTTAAATCCATATGTTGAGTAAAATATCTAAAAGCTAATGGACAAAGAGAAACTCACTAGTGGATAATGAGGAGAGGGCAGAGTAACAAAAGATCACCCCCAGCTGACTGGCAGCAGCCCTGGGCAAAGACAAGGGGAAGACTGTGTCGGGGTCTGCGGGGAGGGGCGCCACGCCTGGAATGCTCTCTGTCACCCTGTGCCTGGGCGGAGGCGGCGAGCGAGGTGTTTTCAGACGTGTCAGGCCTCAGACACTTAACCACCAAGACCTCCTCTGGACTCAAATAGTTGAGTCATCAGAGTAGACATCTCAAAACAAGAACTGAATCCAAGCGCCACTGAAACCAGCGAAACTTGCAGTTATGTCTGAACAGGCGGCTGATTGGGAATAGTTAAGGGCTGCGGTCCAGAGTGTCCGGGTAGCACGCGGGGGAGTGAACGCTGGCTGAGGTTTTCTGGGTGTTGGTGGGTGAGGAAGTGTGACGAGCTGTTAAGGTTGACAGCTAGGCGTTCTGGATGCTCAGAACCCGCTCTAAAATTGAACCCGCTTGAGACGGTAGAAAGTGAAGTCCAGGATACCCCTAGAAGAGGGAGCACAAGTGGGCGCCCAGGTGCGGGTTTCTACTGTGGATCAGCTGTGTGCTCTTCCTGAATACCAGTAATTCCTCTTTTAAAATATTAATTGTTTAACTCCTGGAACACCTGCTTGCTTTTGGTATTCACCTAAGGTCTTCACCAGCACCAAGTACCAGGGACCACACACCGGGTGGCAGGAGATGAGCATGTTCAGAGCCCACATCGTTGTCGGCAGGGGGGCTCCCCCAGACGTCCTGCCCGGGCTCCCACCCAGCCTCTGGTGCTGCCCTTGCCTTGGGGGCTCATCTGTCCCGTCTTGGCCTCCATGTCATGTAGAGGCGATGGCTCCTCTCCAGTCTCTTCAGGGGATGCACCGCTGAGTTCCCAGAGGCCTGGATCTGGGTCTGTACTCCGCCTCCTCCCTGTCCTCCTCCCTTTCTCCTTCACATTCCTTCCCTCTGACTTTGGCTGTTTGTCTTCTGGTCCCTGGCCTGGGCTTTTCCTGTGGCTCTGTGTTTCCCAAGACCTGGCCCTCAGTCTCTTGCAAAGGGAGCCAGAGCTTTCCTTGGGGCCCTCTGCCTGCCCGTAACCTCTGAGTGCCGAAGCAGTAAGTGACCTTGTTCTGAGCTCATTTACTTTCCTCAAATCCTGCGAGGTTGCTTCATAGCACTCTATTTCATTAGTGTTTTGGGAGCATCTGAATTTTAGAGCAGGTCATGAGGGTCCAGATCCCATAAGCGGCTCATCCCCAGCCTGTTCTGGGTGCGTAGCTGATGGAGCAGCACACGCCCTGAGAGTAGAGGTGTCTGGGCAGCAAAGAGGTCTGCGAGGACCTGTGGCCACCCAGGGCACACCGCAGAGTGAGCTGCAGGGCGAGGCGTGCCACGGAGAAGCTGAGGAGGTGGCTGCAAGCAGCCTGTGGACATGGGCAGGCACCGCCGCCCAGACCGCTGCAGACGGCCACAGGAGACCACACCAGAGCTGTCACCACTGGGGCCAGCCGGGGAACCTGCATGCCTGCCCATCGCTGGCCCAGGACCTTGGACTCCATCTGTCACCACTTCCCCTGACCCTTGCAACTTGGGGACAGCATAGTCAGCCTCCTCATTTACAATCACTGAGGCCTCAGAGCACAGCCTCAGAAGAGGCAGCTGGGACACGCTGGCCTCTGGTCAAGGATTTTAACTGCGTACCTCCACCCAGCCTTGCAGCACTCCCCTCCCTCACAGCTTCCCACCCTGCCTCCCCCACTGCTTCCTGCTGATGCTTCTGCACCCCTCACTCGAGTCTGTCACCCACAACCTGGACACGTGGTACGTCACTGGCACAGTCACGTGCATCCCAGACCTTGTTTTCTGGGGACACAGGAACCTAGTGCACCTGCCCTTATACCTGCGGGGCCACCCAGGTGCTGAGGCCCACTGCAGCTCCCACCAGAGCTCACAAAGTATTTTGGGGACTGTCAGGCTTAGTTTTTGGTGAAAGTCCTTTTTTTTAAAAGTATAACATATAGGGGCCCTCCCTGGTGGTGCAGCGGGTTAAAGCACAGCACTGAAGCCGCTTCCTCATGAGTTCGATTCCCGCCTGCCCCAGAGGTGACCACATGGCACGGCAGACCTCTCCTGACCCGCCCGCTGCTCCCCTCAGCAGTGTACTTTGTCGATCTGCCTGTTCTGCTCCCCACTCTGTCTCTGGTGAAGCCTCTCACCGCCCCTGAGCCTCTGGCCTGTACCCCAGTTCTGTATGCACAAATAAAATAAAATCTTTAAAAAAAAAAAGTATAACATATGGCACACAAGTTTTAAACGCACAGCTTGAAGAATTTTCACAAATTTAAACAACTCGTGTAGCTACAACCCAGAATTCAATGCGGTTGTAGCACCTTGGCGTGCACCCAGCACCCTCCAGGTGCGTGGATTCTGCTGTCAGCACAGATGTGTGTGGCCTTGTGGTGACTTTGCGCAGGTGGAGCTGAGGTGTGCTCTATCACTCGTGTCGCGTCCGACCCACGCAGCCATTCACCTTCCTGGCATCTCGCTGTCCTCAGTTTCTGTTGTGACTATTCCAGAAGGTATTTGCTGTCTTATAACTGACTGTCGTTTTTTTCCTCCAATTTTTTGAAATTCCCTTGAGAGTGATCTGGACAGTCATGTATGTAAAGCAATAATACAGATTCTTATGGGGCCTGCGCTCTCTGGCCTTGGCCCTGAGCTGTTTGAATAATTTAACGCATGGGTCCCAAGCCACACCAAGCAGTCCATATCAACAGTGTCAGTGACCCTTGGTTGGCCGCGAGGTGGAGGGGACCCACCTTGTTACCTTGTTATCTGTAAGGAAGCAGGCTCATCGTGAATGCCTGGAGACAGGCAAGGATTTATATTTTTTCATAAACCAATGTGAAGTCAGTATGCAAAAACAGATTCTGGTATCGCATCTAAGACATGTGACACTTGCCGACAAAGAAAAGAAAAAGCCAGACTCGGAGCAGGCTGCCGTAGCTGCCTTGGAAAAGCCCAGCCGGGAGCACCCAGCAGCCCTTGCTCTGGGAGGCGCCAATCCCAAGCCTCTGACTACCCTCCAAACTCTCTGTTTGCCCCTTCAAAACTTGCCAGAGGACACTCATGAGGTGTTAACCATGCTGCATAATCATTTCCCCAGCCCAGGGAAGTTTTTTTGGTAGTTGGGGGCCTGTTCAGTTTGGAAACCACGGACAGGCCGGAGCGGCCAGGTGTGTCACAGGATCCGGTCACTGCCGCCTGGATCACCAGGGCCCATGTGCCCAGCAGTAATGTTTGGGGGCCTTGTCTTGTTTGACTTGCTGCTGTTATAGTGTGTGTTTGATGACATTTGGTCAGGTCATTTTAATTAGGGATGGAACAGGAAAAGAAGGTGAAATTTTTGTGAAAGATTTAAAAAAACCATTCAGCCATTCTCAAGTGTTAGTGTGCTATAAAGTGGCTACAAAGGCCACTTTTACTTGTAGATTATTTAAAATAACAGTACTGGGGGCTTCCCTGGTGGTACAGGGGATTAGGTCTCAGCACTGTGAAGCTGTCACTAGCCACTACAGCATGAGTTCGATTCCTGGCCAGGGAGGTGACCCACATGGCGCAGCAGACCTCTCCTGACCCGCCCGCTGCTCCCCTCAGCAGTGTACTTCGCCAGTCTGCCTGTTCTGCTCCCCACTCTGTCTCTGGTGAAGCCTCTCACATGCACACCCCCACCTCTGGCCTACACTCCAGCTCTTGTATGCATAAATAAATTGTTAAATCTTTAAGAAAATAAGTAAAAATAATCGTACAGACAACTCTTAGAGCCTGGGTATGAGGGAACTTGGTCTTGGGCACCAAAGAGGTTTTCGTTGTAAGATTGTTTCTGAATTGTAGAAATGGCTTCCAGGAAAATAGATGACAGATGCCCTGTTCCCTTGTGAGCTTTGCCCACAGCTCAGAGGCTGTTGGAGTTGGAGGTGAATCTTCGCTCTCGGTGGCGCCCGTCACGAGACACAGCAGTCAGTTCAGGCCCGAGCGGCCCCTCTGTTCCTTTCATGTAGTTTATTGGCTGCACTCTCAGGCCCTTCAGATGGGCATGAATTTCCACTTGCTGAAGCTCAGAGGCCACCTATTCAGCCACAGCTTAGTCAATCTCACGGAGACATGCCGTGGCTTTGTTCTCACACAGGACAGGTGGCTGCGATGTGCAGTGGCTCCAGGTGGCAGAACTGAGGTCCGTGTGTGTCCTGGGCTGGCTGCCAGAGGTCCGGTGCTCACATCTGTGTCCAGGCAGGCAGAGGGAGGAGGAGCGCAGCCTGCTCGGGCCCCCTTTATCAGGAAGACCTGATGAGCGTCTTCTCAGGTCACAAGTCACAAGTCACCAGTCACCCGAAGCAGGCTGGGAAAGCGATTATGTAGTGAAGGGCAGCAGGGGAATTGGGGCCTCAGGACAGATTCAGGGTGGGCCGGTTCGATGCAAACAAGAGCTCTCTAGCTTGGGGACCTCGGTGCTGTTAGCTCTGCCCTTATGATCTCTGAGAACCGCTTATAATAGCTCAGTAGCCGGCTTGTCTCTCAACCTGTCAATTTGTCAGGAGGTGAAGGTGCCTTTCCTTGGTGAGTGAGCTGTAGAGCGGTGATGTGAAAATAGGGTGTGCTGGTGTCACCATTGCTGTCCCAGCCAGTGAGATCATTCTGTGAGACGCGTCTCTGTCTTTTGAACAAGTCTGGCTCGCCCTCCTAACCAGCACTTTCTTCCTCATGTCCATCGCCAGGGAATTCAGTTTCTAATAGAAAATGACCTGCTGCAGAGTTCCCCAGAAGATGTAGCCCAGTTCCTGTACAAAGGAGAAGGCCTAAATAAGACGGTCATCGGGGACTACCTGGGGGAGAGGTACGTGGAAGGAGAACGAGCAGCAGCCTGGTCTCCCCCAGCCCACCCCCGTCTGGGCAGTCGCTCGGGGGCCTGTGCTGCCCGGTCCCGCGGTGGCCCTGGTCACGCACCTCACAGGGGACAGGTGAGGGTGTGCTGGGCTGGGGACGTGTGTGCTCCTCTAGCAGCGTTTACTCGGGAACAGTGCAGACTGAATGCTGCAGCTGCGCTCTCCCTCCCTCGGAAAGCCTCCTCCTCTTCTTGATATTTTGCTTAGAAATACACTAGATTTTTCAGGGATTCCTCCCTGTTCCTTGGGGGTATGAATAAAAGTGGAAAACTACTGACTTCAGAGAGCAGAAATTCCCTTTGCTTTTCTGACCTTCTCCAGCGCTCAGAAGTTAGGGGGGGCCCAAAGGCAGCCCCTTCCCAAGTGTGGCGTTGGTCAAGGCCCATAGATGAGTGGGTTTGGTTTTGTTTGCTTTTTTATTTTTGTGTTCGAGTCAAGACTTTATCTGGGAGTGCCCCTGGCTTGCCTGGGGACTTCACGCTGGCTGTAACTTATCTGCAGAAAGAGCCTGAGGTGGGCGCTCTCGTGCAGGACCAGCGGCCTCCCTGAGTCCCCACCCCAGGGCCTCGGGCCATCAGGAGCCCTGTGTTAGGCTTTCTGGCTTGTGGCCCCCTGGGATGCTGCTTCAGAGCCCCTCAGGGGCTGGGGGGCTCCAGTGCCCCCTCATGTGGCTTTGAGGTTGAGGGAGGATTCTCGCCACTGAGCCCTGGTGCTGGTTATACACACACGTGGGCCGAGGCCAGGGGGCCTGTGTCCTGCTCCCCACAGCTTCTTACCCATCGTGATGAAGACTCCCAGCGTCCAGTGACAGTCCTTGCACTGAAAAGCAATGTAGAGTGAAAAAGCCTTAACTGTGAGTCCTGCAAAATACTTGACTGCAAAAACTTGCTTTAGGGAAATGTCTTTAGTGATGTGTTTCCTTTGCTTTCCTAGGGATGAATTTAACATTAAAGTTCTTCAGGCTTTTGTTGAACTCCATGAGTTTGCTGATCTCAACCTCGTACAAGCCTTGCGGTGAGTGTTCGGCCAACGCTGTCCTAGCAAAGCCAGGCCAGAGCCGTGGCGTGGCTCAGACAGCCAGGTCCCCCAAAGCGTCTCCAAGACTCTGGCAGCCTCAGCTCTGGGGCTCACAGGAGCGAGTGTCCAGGCTGGAGGTGAGGGCTGCAGTCCTTTGCTTCCTGAGCTCTGTGGTGACCGCCTGCCGCCCTGTGCGTGCTTCCGCTCCCGCGCTGGCCCCGGGGCAGGTGCTCCCCCCCACACTGAGCCCCGCGCACCGCCACCTGGACCCCCAGCGTGTGTCCAGCAGGGTGTGGGCTTCCATCCTTGTCTGGCAGCTGGATGTTACCATGTCACTGGAGTGGATCTAGGGCGACGCCCTCAAGTCTCCTCCTGGATACTCAAGTCTCCTCCATGACTCTGAGTTAGACTGTGAAACTGAGGGGCTGAGGGGTCCTCCACATCCAGTTGCTACCCTCCTGTACTGTCTCCTGGACCCCGCAGGTTCTCGTGGGCTGGGTCCGTGAGAGGAAGCCCCCGCTCTGAATCACTGGCGAGGCGGGGTGGGGTCTCCTTGTGAGCCCGCTCCCCGCCCGCTCTGAGGCTAGGGGGCATGTGACACAGCCTGTCGACTCCGGCCGGGCTTATCCATCCCGACCCGACCTGGTGACAGCCTCCCTGTGCTTACCCCCTGCTCCGGACGCGGGAGACAGGCCGTCCGCTTGTGTCCCCGCAGGCAGTTCTTGTGGAGCTTTCGGCTCCCGGGGGAGGCCCAGAAGATCGACCGCATGATGGAGGCCTTTGCGTCCCGCTACTGCCTGTGCAACCCCGGCGTCTTCCAGTCCACGGGTGAGTGATGGCCGCGTCCATCCCAGTCCGGCCCCGCGCCCCACCTGTCCCACCCTGCCTTGCCCTCACCCGCTGAGCCCGCCCACTGCCGCCCGCCGCAGATACCTGCTACGTGCTGTCCTTCGCCATCATCATGCTCAACACCAGCCTCCACAACCACAACGTGCGGGACAAGCCCACGGCCGAGCGGTTCGTCACCATGAACCGGGGCATCAACGAGGGCGGGGACCTCCCCGAGGAGCTGCTGAGGGTGAGAGGCGCAGAGCCCAGCGGGCTGTGTCCCCGAAGCGTTCTTCCCTCCTCCGATCCTTAAGTTGTTTTTAATTCTAAGGCGCATGGGATCGCCGGGCAGGCCAGCAGTGCCACGCGTGGCTTTCGCCACACCCTGGGGAGACGGGAGCATGGCCTCCCGTGGCCCCTGAGCACTGTCCTGCTCCCCTTCTGGCAGAACCTGTACGAAAGCATCAAGAACGAGCCTTTTAAGATCCCGGAGGACGACGGCAACGACCTCACACACACGTTCTTCAACCCCGACCGGGAGGGCTGGCTCTTGAAGCTGGGTGAGTGCCGGCTGGGGCGGCCGCGCTCCCTGCCCTCGCCCGGGGCGCCACCGGGGCAGCTGCCCGCCAGCTCGGGAGGGCCTTCCAGCACGTCCTGGCAGGCCCCAGGCCGGAGGCAGAAGTCCCCGCGGTGGTGGCTGCTTTGAATCACGCCCTTCCCAGAGGAGTGGTCCCGTCCGTCTGCACGGCTGAGAGTAGCACCCGGGCTGCATGCCCGTCCCAGAAAACTACTCCGCTAGCGTCCAGATAAACCCAAGGCAATTTCTGTCCAAGAAGCAGGTGCATTTGCCTCCGAGAACCTCGTGCCTCTCTCCTGGTTTGGCGTGGCTGATTTCGACGAGTGGTTTAAATGTGCCTTCTTGTTGTTTTCCTTCTGCCTGTGCTCCCACCTTTCTGTTCTGTGACGGGCTGTCCCTGCTTGTTCTGCGTTAGGAGGTACGTACCCAGTGGCTTCCCGCCCCTTCCTCAGCCGCTCATTCCTCTCTTGGTTTCTCCCCGTCGGTCTGTGTGAAGCTCTGATCTGTGGCTGCCATTCATCTGATCCATGTGGCTTTGGACCTGCCGGGTGAGCCTCGTGCCGGGCGCTGTGAATGCTGCCCGCAGCTCGGGCCGTTCGAGGGGCAGTGGGACGCCGGCCTCCCTGTGCCCGGGCAGAGCGCACGGCTACGCCGCAGGGAGCCAGCCTGCCGCCGTCTCAGGCTGGGCAGCACAAGGGCTGCTGGCTGGTGCCATCGCCCTCATACTAACCCCGCAGAGCATGTTTGCACCACCACAGAAAAGTCTGGCATCATTTTAAAGGCTTTCTAACCACTGGCGAAGAGGTAGAGTAGCTTCTCTATTTCCTGGGCAATTTCAGGGATCGTTAGGAGTTATTTTGATGGGGGTGTGTGGGGAGTGAGCTTTCTGCCTTACTTTGACATCAGAGCCTTGAGGTGTGACAGCTGTGTGTCATCCAGCACCGAGGACAGGTTGTGGAGATGTGGAGACCTGTGAGAAGTGCAGTGGTTTTGTGCTTTCTAGCCCAAGGAGGACGAGACGCAGGCACGGTGGCAGTGACGTCGTGAGCCTTCCTCAGCTGAGCAGGCGCTGGGGCGTGCATGGAGGCTCTGCTGTTCTGGTTACGGGTCTTGCTCTTGGATTTTTCTCTGGCTGTGCCAAGGTTCAGGAGAGTTCTGTATCTTTGTCTGAAACCCCCGTCGGACGCCCTTGGACCAGCATGAGTAAGCTAAGCAGTGACCTGACTTCTGGATAACTCGCACGCCTTGTCCAGGCTGAGGGCAGCAGCGCTCCCCGACACAGCGGTGTGCTTGGATCCTCCCGCTCTGCATTGCCAGCAGGCGCCCCTCAGCCTGGCAGCCAGTGCAGCCGCCGCAGCGAGGACGCTGCTGGCTGAGACAGAGCAAGGTGAACGAGATGAAGGCAGCGCAGGGCTGTGTCCTCCGACCTCCCGCTGTTTGAGCAGATCAGGTGGGCCGTGGAGTTTGTGCGCAGGGCCCTCGCGGGAGCCGTGGAGCTGGCCAGGCACCGGGTGGGTAGGGAGAGTACGCTGCCCACGGCCACTTCCCAGAAGTGTTGGGCTGGCGTGGCCCTGAGACAGGCTGAGGGCCCAGGTGGTGGCACAGCTGTTGGTGGGGCTGAGACCGAGACTGACCCCAGGTGCTGCAGTTAGTGAGGACACGCAGGCCCAGGCCCCACCCCAGCCAGAGTCCCCACTGGGTGAGGCAGACTCGGGCTTGGATGCAGGAGCGTATGGCCAGGGGCACAGAAATTAGGTAGAAACCAGAGTGCAAGCCAGAGCAGGCGCTCTGACAGGCACGGAGGTGGCAGTGTGGCCTGGCTTAGGCCTCTGGACATGAATAGAATCCTAGAGCAGGCGGCACTCACAAGGCCTGGTGCTTGGCCAGGGCCTGGGTCCTTACAGGGTTGGGTAACGATGGCCAAGTAGTTACTTACAGTCGCTTGGTTTTGAGAGTGAATTGGTTGTCTCCGCCTGAGGGGTGTGGTCCATGTCATGGTGCAGGATGTGTACGTGTGCTCTACACGCATGCCTGTGCCTGGTGGCAGAGCAGAGATGTCCAGAGTGAGAGTGGCTGATACTGTTGGGAAAGCAGGCCCCGCAGGTCTGTGCGGTGTGTGCCTCCGCGTCCTGAAGCTCATCCAGGAACACGTGCGTGAACACACCCCCTCTGGCCCAAGGGCCCATTCAGGGGCTCCCTCCAACAAGGGCCTTACTCCCTGGCCCTGCTGGGCCTGTTTGCAGAGCTGAAAGTGTGCCCGGGCCGGGGCTGGCCTCTGTCCGGATGCCTGCGATGCTCCCTTGGTCCGGAGCACTGGCCAGAAATTGGGCTCCCCTGGGAAGGCTGTTGCAAGTCCTCTTCTCCTGGCAGCTGTGATGCCGGGTGGGTGATGGGCACCGGTTCCCTGGGGAGAGTGGAACACCACAACCCCTGATGATCGTGTGACAGGCACTAGGATTCTGGGTCTCAGGCCGAGTGGTGGGACTTAAGCAGCTAGACGGGAGGTGTGGCCCAGCACCAGCTTGGCTAAAGAAAGGCCTGGCATGCACGGGGCTCCTGCACAGTGCCTCGGGTGTGGGGTGTGTCTGAACTATCCAGTCACCAGAAGACCGTGGGAGGGGCAGTTGCCTAAGGGAGCCCTAGGCCCCTTTCTGTGAACTTGGGGCTGCCTTTTACGCTCATCCACGGTGGGGGAATGCAGCCTGAGCTGAGACCAGGCTGGCAGGTGCCTGGCCCTGGGTAAGGACCCCTCCAGAGGCATTCTGAGAGCACCCCCTGGAGGTCGCATGCAGGGGTTCAGAGAGCAAGAGCCCCAGAGTCAGAGATGTCGGAGGACAAGGATGTGGCTCCAGCTGAGCGCAGCTTGAGCAAAGGTCCTGGAGCAAGAAGGCTTGAGCTGGGGCCAGGCTTGGGGTCTGAGGACCTCAGAGCTCGTGAGGGGGAATGTGGGTCTAAGTTCTGTCGAGAAGACACAGCTAGACCTTCCTCACAGAATGGTGACTCCCTGTCCTGTGCCCCACACACTGTACCTCTCTGGTCCTTGAGGCCATCAAGAGGATGGCAGCCATCTGGTCAGTGATGTTAAGGGCAACAGTCCCAAATGGACTGTGCAGACACACCCCCAGCTCCCTCCCCAAAGCTGGGTGTCTCTGCTCCCCTGGATCTCAGGCCCCATATCACCTGAGGGACAGCAAGTGTCCCCTCATGTGGCCTTGTGTTTAACCCATCTATCTTGACACCCCAGCATGCCGTTTCCTCCCCAAGTTCGCCTCAGGGTGTCTGTAGGGACAGGGCCTGTGACCCCAGGTCTCATCCCCTCACCTACCTGCATTTTATAGAAAGGCTCATCTCAGTGTCACCTGTCACGTGGGGACTGACAGGGCTGGGAGAGCCCCTCCTCACCTGTGCTGTGCATTGCTTAAATTTATTACTGTGAGCTTTTTCTTTTTTTTTAAATTTCATGGCGGAAGCAAGGATTAGAAAGTGAAGCCTTTTCAAGTGTCTCTACTGAGTATTTAGGGGTAGCATACTTTCAGTAGCAGAGGAAAAGTAGGTGCAGATGCATAGGGTGTGTGTGTGTGTGTGTGTGTGTGTCCCAGATCTTGTTAAGAGGCTAATTCAATAGAGTAATTCTCTGGGTCAGGGAGTAATTGATCTTGATGGATCCCAGAGCTGTGCCAGCCCTTGATAATGTGGTAACGACCTGCTGTAACAGGATTCATCCTGGACAGACCAGGCCGCGCTGACTCCATCCTGTTGTCATTTCCATGTGGGGAAATTAAGTCCAAGCATCATCACTAACTCTCCCAGAAAGCAGATCTGGAAAGTGATTATTAGATCCAAGGTAGAAAGGGTATGGCCCCTGGCGGGGTGCATGTGGGACCCCAACAGTGCACCACACCTTGTGTTCTTTCCAGCCAGCCAGGCGAGGCAGAGAAGTTGATGGCCCAGGCTGGACAGTCAGTCCAGGATTTGGCTGAGTGGTGGGCAGAATCTGAAACATTTTCATGAAGTCTGGCTCTGGTGGCATCTCTGAAATGACACTAGTGTGGGGCCCAGGCGCTCGGCCTGCCTCAGCTCTGGCTCACAGGTGCTTCTGCTTTCAGGAGGGCGTGTGAAGACCTGGAAGCGGCGGTGGTTCATCCTGACTGACAACTGCCTCTACTACTTTGAATACACGACAGTAAGTTGGAGATGGGCTGCCCATCCTCCCCACAGTGGCCCCGTAGGTGGAGACCCTCACGAGGCTGCTGTGCGCTTCTCTCTCATAGGACAAGGAGCCCAGAGGGATCATCCCGTTGGAGAACCTCAGCATCAGGGAGGTGGAGGACCCGCGGAAGCCCGTAAGCTGTCGTCTCTGGGATACTTCTCTCCTTTCACCCAGCTGGGCCCTGCACGCCCTCCCCCCACCCCAGAGAGGAGTGTATGGCAGGCACTTGGTGATGCCCCTCTCTGTCTCCACCAGAACTGCTTTGAGCTGTATAATCCAAGCCACAAGGGACAGGTCATCAAAGCCTGTAAAACCGAGGCCGACGGCCGGGTGGTGGAGGGGAACCACGTGGTGTACCGGATCTCTGCCCCGAGCCCTGAGGAGAAGGAGGAGTGGATGAAATCCATCAGGTACGTGAGGAGCCTCTGCCCAGAGCCGGGGCTCCAGCAACTGCTAAGGTGGGAATCTGCTTTTCCTTAGAGGAGCTGCAGGGGTGACAGGCGGGGACACGGGCTCCCAGGTGGCCTAGCCTCTTCCAGCCTCACCTCCTCTGTTCCACAGAGCAAGCATCAGTCGGGACCCTTTCTATGACATGTTGGCAACAAGGAAGAGGAGGATTGCCAATAAGAAATAGAGCCTTCCTGGCCCAAACAGGTAAAAGTAAAGACCAAAACTCCCCAGCAAAAAGTGACTGGACAAGTTGTCCCCATTGGACTCAGATGGCCTTTTCCAAGGCAGGAACTGTGCACAGCACCCTCATAAGAAGCTGGAGGCTCCACACCGAGTCCCTGATCCTTCGCGGGCGGTGCCCGGAATATGTTCGGCTGGTGAGCGTTCAGAGACTCCCCTTCCTTCCGACCTGCCGCCTGCATCACCACAGAGGCCCAGAACATGTCCTTCCCGAAACTTCTTCAGCCGCAGCACCAGTAGTTCAGCCACGAAAACCCATGCAGCAGACACGGGGCGGTATCCAGACGGGAACTGGCTCATGCCACGAGAGCTTACTAATGGCAGGGTATCCATTCTAGAAGCTGCTGTTCTATATCAGAGCAGGAAAGGAAGAGCTACCACTTTTTTATTCAGAATTTTTTTTCTCAGATATATATGATTATAGCTTTTATATGCCTTTTTATATTCTAAAATTATAATGAAAGATACTTTCTAACAGTAGTATTTTTAGAATGGCAGCTATCAGTTTAGTTCCTGGACACAAGTATATACTGTGCACTGAAACACTACATACAGACACGCGCACACTCAAGGGTGGGCAGTGGAGAGGACCCTTGGGTCGCCTCACCCCCCGGGGCTGCCTGAAACAGGCTGCCCTCGTCTCCCAAGGATGACGACGAGTACTGGGCAGGGACAAGCACCCGTTTCCCTCGGCCCTCTCTCCAGCGCAGAGCTTGTGGTCCCATAGATACTTCCTAGAAGGCAAACCACAGTGTCAGTGACAGTCGGGCCTTTATCCTGTTAACTGCTGCGTCCCGGCACTATGGAGCCACGTGAAACTGCTGATCATGGACTCTTGGGCCCTCCTCCCAGGAAGCAGTTTCATCCCATTCAGCCAAACAGGTGGCTCAGACTGGACTGTGAACATGGTCTTCACAGTTGAAAACATGAAGACTCATTTACTGAGCTGGTAAGACCAGACTTGTTCACGTGCTGTGTAGACATGTAAGTAACTAGACCCCTCTCACTGGGATGCGTGGCACTTCAGTTTCTTGTAAATAGTGCAAGACCCCAAAGGACTCTGGTGGTGGGACTTGTGAAGATGCACGACCAGCAAGTCATCGGGTTGCCCGTGACTTCCCCACAGAGGTCCGTGCTGTTGCAGAAGGGGCTCCTGCGCTTCAGAGCTGGGTGGAGGGTGCAGGTGCAAGTCCAAGGGCTGGCCAGGGATGGGCAGCCTCTGGTTCTCCAGGGCCGGCGCCTTTCTTCTCATTGGAGCTTTAGTCCCACCACCACGACACCGCATTCAATACTTTGGGCTCCTGTGCCCATGGGGGCTATTCTGGTGGCGGGCTCTTCCCCATAGAACCTCCTCCCCCTGCCCCATCTGCATGACACCCTACACTGGCACCCTGTAGAGGTGCGAATATCCAGTGCAAAGTCAAGTTCAAGACAGAAAACTTCAGGGGGGACACACTGTAGATTTAAATAGCAGAAGTGAGTCTTGCTGAGTGGCCTTGATGCTGAGGACCCTTTGCCTCTGTGCAGCTGACCTTGATGTAGCTTTAAGTCACTAGACTGCAAAGGGGTCTGAGCCCGTGACTCCAAAATGCATCAGATTTTTGGTTTGTTCCCAAGCTGTTAGGCTTTGTTACTGTACTGATACCTCAAAATCGAAACTTTAGCTTTTGAGCAAGGCAAGTCAGCATTGTAGGATGCCTGACTGGTATATATGCAACTCTGGCCTCCAGTCTTCCACGGAAACACGCTGCCTGGGCCACCAGACCAAACACTGCTGAAGATGACCCCGCAGCGCCACCCTCAGGCGGGCCCCGCATCAGGGATGGTCAGCGCCTCGATGAGCATTTCCTGGGTGGAAAGCCTTCTTTTATCAGACCCAGGTAGGGCCCCTGGGGATACGGGGCTTTGTCTTTTGGGTTTGGCCTCAGATTGGGGTTAGTAGAATGGGCCACGCAGGAAATGTTCGCCAGCTGAGAAATGTTTCTCTGGTTACCTGTGAACGAGCCTGCCTCGTGGCCATTTCCCCAGAAATGACACCGAAGGCCATGGTGCTTAGAATCTATGTAACTTGCCATCAGAGTGTTACGTGAATTCATCCAACTCCAGGTTTTGTTGTGACAGTATTAACACGACAGGCACACAGCCACCGCTTCCACTCAGCCCAGGCAGGCCTGGTCCAGAGAGGGACTGGGCGGGCAGAGCTTGTGGCCTGGACTTCAACATGCTCGTGTCTTCATCCTTCCACCCCCATCTACAGTCAGTGCTTGCACTATCCGTCTCCACTCTGGCCAAAGACAAGCTTTTCTCCAGAGATGAAGGGCAAGAGGTAGTGGGGGAGGAGGGTTGCTGGACGAGAGGTGCCAGCTTCCACAGCCCCCCAGCCTTGGTGACTTGTGAGGTTTAACTGGCCTGACCCTGGCCCCAGAGACTGTGTTCAGGGTCACAGGACATATCTGAGTGGTTATTGTGGTACCAAACGGAGTCATGATAGGCACTATTTATAGATGAGGCAGTACTTCGTGCTTCATATAAAGCAATGCATATTTTTAAAAGTAAAACGCACATGTCTACATAGGTATGCTTTGCTGAGGCCAAGTCTGTTGTAGACCAGAAACTACACGTCATGATTTCTCTTATTTTTTCCTTAGAAAACATTTCTATTTACAGTAAATAATTAATATGTAAATACTGTATATATATTGATTCTGGAGTGTTTGTTATTCAATGTATATATACTTCCACAGCTTGCATGAATATCCTGTATCTATTGGTATTTTGTTGTAAAGTGAATAGTTAGTAAAATTGGAGGGTATATATGACTGTCCAATTGCAAATACTGTGTTCACTGAATAAAATGCATTCTTAAGACTGTCTAAGGCTTGTTTATCTAAAACAGATTGTCGGTTCAACAGTCCCCTCCCAGACTCACCCATCCTGCGGTCTGCAGCTGGCCATGGGGGCACAGCACCTGAGGCTATGGCTCGAGCACTAGAGGTTTTTGAGAAAATGAAGGCAACAGGTAGAAGTCAGTGAGAGGTTATCTGTAAGCAAATGGGGAAATAGCAGTAAAACATAAGACACAAGTTTAATTTGCTGCCATTTATATACTATATAAATTTTACATGCTGTATATTTACAGTGGGGCAAGTGCTTTTTTAATCTTTAAAAAAACAAAGATCAAACTTTAGACATCTCTGAACAACACAAACTGTATAAACCATACAGATTATTCAGATACAAACTGTATTAAATACAGTTTTCCCCACTCCATCTCCTGATGCAGGACCAGTGAATTATAAGTGTATCACAGTTTGATAGCATATCCATATTAAAAATAAAATCACAGTATGATTTTGTCTGTAACTAGAAACTTTAAGGGACCAAGCTGACAACTCAGACTCCAATATCATAGTCAAGACAAGAGACACTGTATAAAAAAGTGTTATGTAATAAAAACATACTGTAGGCTTTACAAATAATGTTTGGATTATACATTCATAATGTAAATACTCATCATAACTGGTAAATTGATTGGAATAGTTCCACAAAGTTCAAAAACAGAACTTGTCTATAAAATACATCTTCAAATCTTGAATACAACTAAAATATGAAGCAAATTAGTTTCTAGTATCAGACATTACAGAAAACAGACTGCTCTCAAGTCTAGTTGAGAGCTTGTGAATCTTTAAATAAGTCTTTAAATTAAATATACACACTGTCAGTTTGTACTTTTAATAATTCCATGGTTTCCCGGTTGGTCTTGCACCGGATGTCTAACTTGGAGGAGCATTACATGGAATACGAGTGATCAACCTGAGTCTGTGATTAAGCAGCATTTGAGATGTTCTAGTCCAGGGCGTTATTTTCAATGTGATTTATATACACGGTATTTTACAATGGTCAGCAGTTGTAGAAAGTGTTCATCCATTTGGAAGAAGGGCAATTAAGAAAAGGTAAAAACTAAAAAAAAAGTTCTCCATGGTAAAATCTGTACAGTATTTACTAAAGAAGCACCACGCAGATTTGAACAAAGTTATTTTCTATATTTATAATTTAAGCTGGGTTGGGGATGGCTTCTGTTGAACACGTTGAATCTGAAAGACAAGAGGGCGGCAGGCGTTATCCGAGGCAGGAAGCTGGCACAGAGGGCCCTGTGGGTTCTGGAGGGTTGGGGGGCGTAGGGGGCCTTTTCATAACACCAGTGAACTTATTCATGGACTCCCTTTCAGCCAGTCTCCTTCAGCTTTGGGGGGATGCTTGTCTCCCTGGGAGGCACTAGTGGAACCAGGCAAAATTCCAGACCGACATGCCGAGGGTGCCATCTGCTGGGCATGGACACACCCACTGAACCCCAACAGCTGTTAGTCCAAACCTCAATCCTTAAATTGCCTTTTGCCAGGGAGAGTTTAATACCTTAATTAGGCTTAGGTCTTTCCCTTGAGGACACATTGATAAAGTATGTTAATTAACTGCAAGTTAAGCCTCTTGAGACAATTCACTTTTAAATTTAAACCCCCCCTTGCTGAGAAGTTACACATGTGGACAAATTTCCCTTTGGGCCAAAATAGCTTATACCCCTCTACCCTGCCAAGTGCAGGTTATGAAATGGGAATCTCCCTGGGCCGCCGAATAAAATTCCAGTAGTAGATTACTTGACATACTCGAGGTTTTGATGTACACAGCACCTGAATCTCAGCCCTTTTCATCCGCGGTAGGGGTGCGGATGCAAGAGACCAGCGTGATTTCTAGATCTGCGCATGGGACTCAAACCCCTGGCCTGGGTGCTGTGCCAGCAGCTTCATGTACCCAATTAGGGGGTGTATGGGTGGAAGAATCTGAAATTACCACATGGCACAGACCCACTGGTTAAGTCTGGATTGAGGACACACCTCACCAAGTGTTCAGCAAAGGACTGTCAGCTCTAGTACCTTCAACTGTCCCTCATTTTTGTACAATGAAGGCAGCAGTTGTGTAGGGACAGAAGTGGCACTGCTGGCATAAGGGACACAAGCCTTCAGAGGCAGTGCCAAAGGGAGGTGTTTGGCAAAGCGCCACTTGCCTGCAGGTCAGAGGGGGCACGGGGAGTGGAGAGGCAGCTGCCTGCACCTGCTTCCCAGTTGATTCCTGCACCCCTACGTCCTCAAACTCCTTCAGGTGTGTTCCCTCAGTGCAAATAATGACAACATGTATAAATGAGAAAACAGCTTACCGTAACTAGTGAATTTTTTGTTTTGAGGCCAAGTTTTCAGTCACCTAGAAAGTAAAGATTAGAAAACATGTTTTAATGATGGTTTTCCAAACTTGGTGTGCATGCTGTACACTTAGAAAAACAATTCTCAGTAGTTAAATGGTTACTGCTCTAAACAATTTGACTCAAGGACAACCAAGTATCTGCCACCAAAGAACAGTTTCTCCAGTGGTTCAAAGGAAAACGAGAGCTGCTGTGATGACTGGCGCACTGCTCACAGCAGAGAGGTAATGAGAACCACACCCCCACGGGAGCAGGCCCCCAGTCCAGCCAACCCAGCAGCTTTCTAACATTAGGAAAGAACAGGTCTTAGGCCAAAGAAATCCAGAGTTTAACGTTTGGGTAAGAGAACAGTGGTCAGAGAGGGGTGGTCAAGAGGTTCCAGGACAGAGGACAAAAGCCACTGACCTTGTACCTCAGCTTCTGCCCACATGTCATCGGACGGAAACTGACCGAGGACAGGAACACAGACCACTGCACGACACAAAACCAAACTGCAAGCTCTGGACACACATCAAGGAGACCAAATGCCAATTATTAAAGTTCCCACTCAACTGACTTTCTCCCCAGAGCCACCTCTGTGGTGAGCTGCCATCTACCACACACTGGGGACCTCTGGTGGTGGTCCTGAGAGAGACCTGCAGCTACAATGGGAAAATGCTAGCAGTGATACAGATGGCCCTTACACCCCTCCTGGAAGACACAGGACAGCAGCCCACCTACTTGTTCACCCAAGCACCTCAGATAGGTCAGAGAAAGTCGGTCCTCGGGAGGCCTCTTCCCCAAATTGCCGCAGTGTTCTTGGGAAACTATTCTTAAAATACATGTATTTCTTAAAAATCATGCAGAGCAAACAAATACTATTTTAGCTTCACTTTCTCACTGACTGTGGTGACTCCTGCCCTATCTACCACCAGACCTCCACTTGCCCTCCCATGGAATACTCCATCCTTTCTTCTAGTATCTCCTGACACCAACACTTCAGGCAGCTGCGGGCCCCTGCAGACACTGGGTCTACCCCATAACACACGCCGGCAGGGCAGCCTAGGACATAGTCAAGAGCCAAATGGCCTCTGGAACCAAGACGTGCCAAAGTCACAAAGTGTAGAGCAGGCGTTTAGAGCGAGGGCCAGCAAACTTTTTCCACAAAAAGCCAAGTCACTAATGTTTTCACTAGCAGGCCACTGGACTGCCATGCTGCACTGAGTTGTTAAAAGGCTGGGTCATGAAAAAGCCAGGATCTGTACCCGCACAACTCCAGTTAACTTCATAAAATTTTCACCTAAAATGAAACTGCCTTGGAACTTTCCCCAACCATTTAAAAACATTCCAGTGCTGGGCCCTCGCTGGTGGCACAACAGGTTAAAGTGCAGCACTATGAGGTTATCTGCAACCACTGTAGCACAAGGTCAATCCACAGCCAGGGAGCTGACCCACATGGCGCGGCAGAACTCTCCTGGCCTGCCCGTTGCTCCCCTCAGCAGTGTATTTCAGTCAGTCTGTTTTGTTCCCCACTCTGTTTCTGGTGAATCTTCTTACCCCTGTACCTCTGGCCTACACCCCGGTTCTTGTGTGCATAAGTAAATAAATCTTTAAAATGAACCAAAGCCTTCAAGTGCTTCTGCGGTGGCCCACACAGTGGCCAGCTCTAGTTGGCAAGCTGCAGTTGGCCAACTCCAGTTCATCACACTGTTTAACCAGCACAGTGCTGCTTTCCAGGTCAAAGGTCATTGGAAGCAATTAGAAAGTAGGAGAGGGACTGCTTTAAATGCGATCAGTCAAAAGGACTATGAAATTACAAGAAAAGACAGCTGTGCAAAGCAGACAAGAATCCAAGATGGCCAACAGCCCGGAAGCAGGGAGCTCCGCTGAAGCCAGAGAGGCCCGTGGCGCACACATCTCCAAGGCTCTGCTGTGGCGTTTCTAATGAGATACACCATCAACATGAGTTTAGATTTTACTTTAAGTTTTAGGATTCAGGAAAGAAAGAATACTTGTCAGAGTATTTCTATTAAAACTAGCTTAATAAGGGCCCTCCCTGGTGGCGCAGAGGGTTAAAGCACAGCACTAAGAAGCTAAAGCCACTTCCGCATGAGTTCGATCCCCGCCTGCCCCGGAGGTGACCACATGGCGTGGCAGACCTCTCCTGACCCGCCCGCTGCTCCCCTCAGCAGTGTACTTCGTGGATCTGCCTGTTCTGCACCCCACTCTGTCTCTGGTGAATCCTCTCACCCTCTGCATATCTGACCTGTACCCCAGTTCTGTACTAATAAATAAACCTTTAAAAAAAAAAAAACTAGCTTAATAAAAGTTGTGGTTGGGGTCTCCCTGGGGTTAAGTCTCAGTACTGTGAAGCTCTCCACAGCCACTGCAGACAGGTCCCATCCCCAGCCAGGAAGCTGACCCAAGGGTGCAGCAGACCTCTCCAGTCTCGCCCGCTGCTCCTCTCAACTGCATTTCAGTGGATCCACCTGTTCTGCTCACCACTCTGTCTCTGGTGAATACTCTCAACCCTCCCCCCACACACCTCTGGCCTGTACCCCAGTTCTTCTATGCATAAACAATCTTTAAAAAAATAATAGTGTGTCCTTCCCAAGGCACACACTCAGAGGTGGGAGTGAATACCAAGGACTTGAGTGTGGAGGTTCCCCTGGCCCACTTCCCTGTAACTCAGGCTTCCAATGATGCTAAGGGATCAGCACTCAATATCCCCAACACACAGCTGAAACACAGGCTCATTCTCGAACTGTATACTCTCTTATGCCATTCGAGGTTTTTTTCCCATGTATAAACCACCTTTAAAAAAAAAAATTGTTGATATTCTTAACTCCAAGTGTCTCCTCTTACCCTGGCCACATTCAAACAGATGACACCTGTCATCCCTGCTTTCCATCCTTAAATGTTTTGTTTTATCACGGAAAGGCCCAACACCTTCCAGAGGCAGGCCATCGGTGAGGGGAAAGCCACCGTCAGCTCTCCGGAAACGGTCAACAGTCTCAGAGCTAGCGGCCTTGGTTAAGTGCAGTTCTGAATCTTTAACAAAGTCCTCTGATTTCCTTGAGTGTCTCTTCTTTTTCTTCTTCTTTTTTTTGTGTCTGTGGAGGTCAGCATCAGAGTACGCTACTGAAATGTCTGAATCCTGCTGATGCCTGCAGAAGAATAAGCCAGAGCTCAAATCACGAAAACAAAACCACCTCAAAGAGAACTGGTCCCTGGCATTTATACCCACTACAGCAAACACACATGTACCACAGGTAAGATCTGCATCTAATTAAGAACATGTCATTTGTTTTCACTGCATTGAGTTTTACAGTCCAGGGTCATAAATTCACTAATTTCAACCCCACCCCACTGCCTTTAGCTTTGCTCAGGAGCTAGAGTAGGAAGGATTTTGCTAACTCTTCCTGAAACTAGGAACTAAAGGGAAATTTTTTTTTGCCAGATTCTCAGGCACCTGAGTTGGAAGGAGGCTGATGACTCATTTTTCCCTCAAGTCACCACAGTCTGTTTACCTCTGCCTTTTGATAATCTTTACCCAGAGTTTCACTCCCAAGGAATGCAGCTAACATGTGTATTCACTCTGTTCATGGCCATCCATGTCAGCATAGATAAGTCATTTCAAGATGATCGCTGACAAGTGTAGATTTTTAAGAACACAAAGATGAGCTTCCCACTTAGATTTCAAATTGAGACATAGAGACAAAAACAAAAAGAAAAGCTCAGGCAGCAAATGGTACCCTCAGAAGGCCACTCTGCGTAGGCTGTCAAGTGTCAAAAGGACAGTGGCCTTACATTTTTTGCCCACTTGATAGTCATGGAAATCGAGGAAAATATTAATAGTCAAGAAAATATAAGCACCTCCGATGAACAAGAATATTAACACCAATTGCGACATTATAGACCCCTGAGTTTGCATCTGCGGAGTCTCACAGACTCATTCCCAGAAGCTTCACAGCAGGGCCTGGAGTGGCAATATCACTGGAAATGTTAGGCACAGTATGGTCCTGTGCAGTAAGACACAGCTTAGAAGCAGAGCTGTTTGGAAATCTGTAAAAAATGTGAGAACTCAAATGAAAAGTACAAATTAAACATAGAAACATGACAGGCCTTCACACATGGCCAAACCGGGTCAGAGAAAAGGAACCGGGGAGACCAGCAAGCAGCCCTCCCAGCAGAGGGGCGCAGCCCACAGCCTCACCTGGAATCTCGAGCTCGGTGTTTGTCTTTGGATTTCTTTTTCTTCTTTGACTTTTTGTGCTTCTTCACTTTCGGCTCTTCTAAGGGGCCCTTTTGTAAGCTTCTCCAGATTTTCTTTTCTACATGACTGCCATTATTTTCTATACTGTCGTATCTCCGTTTTCGTGACTTCACACCTTCAGGTTCGTGAATGCGATCAGAGAGGTCGCAGTTGTCTCCAGCTACAAGTACATTTTTCTCACGGGAGTACTTGTCTGGGTAGGGAGGGGCATGAGGCAGGCCTGCCCGGGGGCTGCTGAAGTGGTGCCGCTCCTTCTCCTTAGCGACCACCTCGTATGTCTTTCTGCTTTTGTAGTAGTCCTTGTACGGCCGGTTGTTGTACTGAGCTGCTTTGTCAAACTCTCGGTCGCCGTGGAAAGACTTCCACTCCCGCACCTCCCTGGCCGTGTATGGTGCGTACCTGTCGTGGTAATACCTGCATTTGTCCCATCTCATTTTATCTGGGTAGTATTTCTCCCGGCCCCAGAAGTGTTCACTTTCCACGTGGTGGTATCTGCTCCACTCCTGGTCTGAACCGCATCGATTTCGGGAGTGGGAGTGGTGGTGGCTGGACCTGCCCAGGGAGCGGCGCTCGCCAGGGCTGGCCCTCTCCCCATGGCAGGGGTGGTGCTGGCCCCCGTTGCAGTGCTCCACCCTGTAGCGGTCCTGCCTGGCCCGCTCTCTGATGTAGGGGTGCCGCTTTTTGTGATAATGGTCCTCTGTTTTGCTCCGACTTTCCCTCGCGCGCTCTCCACTGGAGGAACGGTCTCTTCGGTTACGATAATGTCCGCGATCCACTTTTCTAAGGACACTGATCTTTTCCTTAACTGGAGAATGATCCTGAACCTTTTGTCCTACCTTATTTTCTTCACATCTCTCCCCATTACTTTGTTCTGGGCCCCCTTCTGAATGGTTTTCTGTAACACTATCTAGTTGAGGCGCAGGCAGCTCCTCTGTGGACACGCCTGTGCTTTGCGAAGGGCCCTCTGTGTCTGTGCATTTGTCTCGACTGATGTAAACTGAGAGTTCGTGATCACAGTCTCCCGTTGAATGTGCTGAGGGAGCTGGGCTCAACCTCCCTGCTGTTTCCACTGATGCCAAGAAGTCCTGCGGACTCCCCGTTAATGTCCCTTTCACATCCTCGGAGGGCTTGCTCTGGTCATTTGTCAAATTCCCGGGATCACATAGTTTAGAAAGTGGATCATCCCCAGCAGTGTTCTTGTCCATATTACAAGGACTGTTGATACTAGGCAAAGACTCATCAGGTTTTGCTGAAATGTTTTCAGAGACTTCTTCTTTGGTAGATTTACTGCTGGGGTCGGAGGGCAGCAAAGTCTTCTTTCCTTTGCTGCTGAGACTTGTCTCCAGTTTCTCATGAGACTCGGGAGTGGGGCTGCCAGCCTCCAGTTCTGCATCAGGCTCCCCTGTAGGATTTTCCTCTGTTCCCGTTGTACTGCAGCGCCCACCAAAACAAAGAAATAAATCAGTCACTAGTTTGGTTGCTTTGTGAGTTTTTATCATTATCTTTCAAACACTTGAAAACGTTTGCTAAATATTTTCTCCCTTTACTATAGCTGGTTGAAACACAATAATGGGCTTACTGCTTTCTGGGAACTTTAAATTTTTTCTTCTTCCCATTAAATAAAAATACAAAATTTTATATATATTAAGCTTACCTGCTGTTCTAGTTTTCACCAACACTAATTCTGCAGTTCTAGGCTCCTTCTGTTTTTAGATATACTTCTAATTTTTAATAACTAAGTCTAAACAATCAAAAAATACAAATAATATCAGGGGCCCTCACTGGTCTTTCAGGTCCCTTTTTTTTTATTTTTCCTGGAGTCCCAGAGGTAGATGAGCTACCTCAAAATAGAGCCAACAGTTCCCTGAATTACTTACAAATTGAGGAATCATGACACTTTAGAAAAACTTTCTGTAGCAAATAAACTCTGCCCTGGATTGCTGTAGTGTTTTTGACATATTCTGAAAGTTACTGAAAGCTGCCAGAGGACAATAGAAACCCCACAGAGCCCCCTTCTTGCTAGCAGAGAAAATTTTAGGGAGAATACATGAAGTAAAAGCCAAGACGGGCCCTCCCGGGTGGCGCAGCGGGTTAAAACACAGCACTAAGGAGCTTAAGCCACTTCCACATGAGTTCGATTCCCGCCTGCCCCGGAGGTGACCACATGGCGTGGCAGACCTCTCCTGACCCGCCCGCTGCTCCCCTCAGCAGTGTACTTCGTCGATCTGCCTGTTCTGCTCCCTGCTCTGTCTCTGGTGAAGCCTCTCACCTTCCGCATCTCTGGCCTGTACCCCAGTTCTGTATGAATAAATAAATCTTAAAAAAAAAAAAAAGCCAAGACGATACTTAGAGTGTGGTAGTGAGATTAACAACTTAACATGTAAAGCAGTGACAACACACGCATGACTTTGTTAACGAAACTGTCTATAACCCTCATGAACACTAGACTAGCCTCAACTAGCAAAGAGACAAAAGGAATGTCATTATGCAGTGACTGAGGAGCCAAGCTACTGCTTCTTTAAGGTAAATGGAGAATGAGTCTTCTCTGCTTGCAGCCCTTACTCCCCCTTAATAGCTAAGGCTTCCCAACAGCAGTCCTCAATGAGGACACCTACCTGCCAGGAGCCATTCAATGGGGAACCCCACTAGCACTAGTGGGCATGGGACAAGGCAGAGTCTCACATAGTGAGCGGTTGTCCTGTTCTACATCCCAACATTCACATAGCTGAAAATCTCAGTTATATTCTCTTTGGCTGTTTTTATAGATGCTCGACTTTCCAAGACTACAACTATTATGTATATCTAGAGATAATAAAAATTTCACCAGAAGTCGTCCACCATCAGAACATTACCTTTCTGTGTGGTACTGAGCTCTAGACATAAGGCCACTGGGCAGAAAGTCACACAACAGTCCCCATCACAGTGTGCCTGTGCACAGCTGCAGCACTCAGCTGTGACTGTGCCTTGTGGGGGCACCCTCTCCTGGGCATTTACGTAGACGTACCAACACAACACAGGGTCCTTTAATTCTGGCCCCATTATCTTATAGCTAGGTCAATACATTCACTTTTAAAAGGTAAATGTGAAGGCATATTATCTCATCTATGAATTTCAGGATTCTGGAAGGGGCATGATGAAGTATTTGTCACTTGGTAAATCTTAGACCCCCTGCCCTATATAACCTTAATAGTTCTTTGTATATTTTTGTCACAAAATGGTTGTTATATGAGACAATGTTATGTGTCAGATCCAAAGTATGCTAATCACACACCTAGCCAGAGAAGAGACTATGCAAAAGAAAAGACAGCTTAAGGATATCAAATTGGCATGGATTATCAGCCCAAGAAACTTTTTCTGTACTTTTATAAAAGGCAAATTAACAAATTCTAGATTATTATTCAAGGCATTTCAGGATTCAAAAAGGTTCACTGAAAGGTTGCTAGAGAATTAAAATAGTGACACATCCACACTGGGTGTGGCTCTGCCCTACTAGGGCATTCCTACCAGGTGGGATTCCTACAGGTGACTTCATCTCCTCTTAGTTTATCCCTATTTTACCTTTTGTCGTCTGTTGAGCATTTTGCTTTGTTGTTAAGTTTAAAGGTCTCTAAGATTTTGTCTTCTGGGAGAGGTGGCAAAGGAGCAGGCATCAACTACAATTGAAAAACAAATACATTTCAATTCTAGTCACCACGTGGTGCTGCATAAGTCCTGTCACAAACTGAAAGGTAGCAAAGCCACTCCCCACCCCCACTCTCTCACACACACATGCTCACCTTTCCTGGCAAACCATTTGCCTTAGAAAAGGGATTTTCTGAGTGTAGAGCAGGCTGGATGTGGCAGCTGGCACCATCGAACGGCAGACCGTTTTCCTGCAGGTCACTGTCTGTACTATTAGCACCATTTAGAGTCACAGGTTCTCGAAACTCGTGCTGAGAGGCCTCTTCACCTTCAGCACCCTGAGCAGAGGAGCGCCTGCTCTCCGTCGTACCCAGCCCATTCTCCCTGCTGAGGCCCTTTGCCTCTTCATCAGACTCTTCAGATGACTCGGCACCATAAGGGACCAGGACGCTAGAGTTCAGCTTAGACTTGCCATTCACCACCGGCTTGGAACAGGACTCACTCAGGGGAATTTGCTTTGTTGCTTTGCTAGAAACTGACGCCATGGATGTGCTCGAGGTAGACTGCGTTGCAGAGGAATTGGTAATGGTAGAAGAGGGAACAGGCTTGTTGGGGTTCTCCAAAGAATTGCTATGAAGGTTAGGCTGCGACTGACCTTGGCGAACAGGTAACTTGTTGTGAATACTGATGGTGATTTTTTGTTTCTTAGGATGTTCTGGAATAACTGAGGACCTATTAACTGACCAGTTCTGAACAGAGGTGGAAGCATTAACAGGACCAGCCCTGTTGACACTAGAATTCCCATTAGGACTAGAGATGGAACTGCTCGGTGTTTCTTTTAATGGTCCGGTTCCATTTAAGTGAGGTGGGTTCTGGAAGTAAGAAGACCACAGCTGGGTGAGAGCTCTGGACACAGTTGCAGACACAGAATCACTACTGGCTGTGCACCCTTTTATTTTGGTCATTGTTTTCTTTTTATGAATAACAAGTATCACACCTAGAACACCACTTCCTCCTTTCATCTACTCCTGCCCACCACTCACCTTACCACAAGTCTTAGTTTTCTATGACAAATAGGGACAACCACTCTATTTTGGCCAGATAACAATGGTCAGACCAAATGCTTTCTGTTCCAACCTGCCAGAATAAACAGACCCCCTTGGGCAGGGAGTCATGTATGTTCTCCTTGGTTGGGAGCCCACTGCTGTACACAGAAGGAAACCAGCCAACAGGGAATTAACTGCTGGTCAAGGTGGCAAAGAGATGGGCACACAGGCAGACACAGAAGTACTGCTTAGCACCTCTCACCAAGGCATGCCCCACACCCCCATGGAGTATCTGAACCCCACATATGCAGTTACTTTGCTTCAGATGCCAACTACTGTTAATAGGTTGCAAATTGGTGGTGAGGGGTGAAATCTAGTTCATACATGGGTTCTATCTGGTTTTCACAATATTTCCTTAAATGTTTGAACTAGTGATCTTATCACTGGCAAGTTTCATGTAAATAAAATCAAAAAGTTTTGAACATTTACTAGCAGTCACCTCTCAACACAGAGCACTTGCCCTCCAGCTGACCAGTGCCCTCCTGTTACACTTAAACATAGCCCAACTCAAGGCTGCTACCGCCCCAGCTCCCAAAGACAATTTGTGACTCTTCTTCAATCCAAAACACTATCAAAAGTTCATAAAAAATATATAGCATATAACTAGACAATTTGTTTGCTGACTCAAAACATATTAAAATTAAACTGAGAGACTGATAAAACATGACAATGCAGTGACAGGGATGAGTCCAAGACGCAGACAGGCGTCCATAATCTCCACACGAGTCTAGGGAAAGCCAGATCTCCACTCTCAGAACACGTGGCGCTGCACTGACCAGGGTGCACATCATTCTCCCTGAGAGGCTGTCAGGGATGTGATCAGATCCATCAGGGTGGCAGATGCAAAGCACCACACTCCCGAAGGGCCTATGAGGGTATGAGGTATTCTTTGTGTAAAAGAGTCACTTTCCTAGAATCCAGCATTTAATCAAAAATCCTCAAATATTTATGGGAATGAAAGTCCAATATGGGAGCTAAAATCTCTAGCATTTAAATAAATTTATACTCAGACTTTCTTCCTGATCATTATATTCATCATCTGAGATTTTCTGTATACTTGAAAGATATTACAGTAAATGGCTTAAATAAATATTCAGTTGTAAAAAGGCCATGGTAACTACCGTAATGTTAACTAATCAGACTTGGTCTTAATCAGGATGATACATTCTTAAAAGTTAACATAAAAGTCATAGTCTCCCTGTGGAATGTTACCTTTATCATGTGAGAAGGAAGCTGTGGTCCAATAAACCCTGATGTGGCCTGTTTGTTGTTGACAACTCGCTGACTGATTACTGGTCGGGGAGAAGATTGGCCAGGGCTGTGGGTGGAATGAGTAAGTTCACCTCCATTTTTCACATCGTGGGACCTGAGAACAGAAAGTGGTAATACTTAGCGAGTCTCCTTAGAAGAGAGTCATTTATTCAATAGCAAGTTGACCCCTCAGGTGACAGACTGACGAGCTGTCCTGTACAGAGCTGGACACTGGATCTCCTTTAGGTCTGGGTGTGTCAGGTACTCAGATTGGAGACAACAAGAGTAATTAGGCCAAAGGGATTTTTAACTGTATTCACAGAATGCCACTCTCTGCAAGCTATTTTTCTCTTGTGTTTATTGGTATTTTTCTAATTATAAATATGTACTACTTTAGAAAATCTGTGATGTCCAGAAAAGTTAGAAGAAAACAAACAAGCAAACAAAAAAACCCTCATCTCACCCCTTAGAGGCACCTACTCTTGAAATTGGTCAATTATTTTCCCAGATTTAGACTGATACTGATTTCCTCAATATCAGTGTATAAGCTTTCAAACTGCTTCCTCTATGAAGATCTTTCTCATAACCTTTAAAAAACTGGAAAAATTTGAAAACTTGAAAAAAAAATCACTATTAACAGTTGCACAGTATCTCAACATAAGTGTATGTTACAGGTTGCATGTTCATTCTGTTATTTTTGACAATTATAGGATGTTCCTAGTTCTCAGCTACTACAAATGAACACCCTGGGAATACATGAGATTTTTTTTTCAAGGCCACACATTTCTAGAAGTGGAACTAATGAATCAATGTGTATACAGTGACATGAGAGAAATGAGCAGGGGTGTTAGCACAGACTTGGTCAGGAAGGGGACCGGTTGCACTGCTCAGTGGTTGGGAGATACTGGCTATGGCCACACCCAGATACTCAAAGATACTTTCCAGAGGCCTGCAGCTACTGCTTCCACAGCCCCCATTTACATCTGTTTGCTGCCAGCAGCAGAAATCTACCCTCTTTGGCAATCACCTTTATCTTCCTCTGCATGTTTCCTCTGCTGATCCACCAAAAAGAAGCCAAGTCAAACTCAATCTGTACTCGAAAATTATCTTCCTTATTCTAGCAGCATCATTAAGCTGCTGTTTCAATAATCCAATATTAAATATGTTGATGAAAGAAAGGAAATGACATAAGAGAACATCTGAAAAATTGTTTTCCTGACAGTACCTGATATAAAAGAGAACATAAGCTTGTTGACTGAGTACCGATCTAATATCACTGGTCGACACGATGGAGTCATTCATTTGATACCAGAGGCCATTGCTAGCCTGCAAAAGAGAGCCCCATTAGATATTAGATATATTAGATAAATTGGGAACACCAACAAGAGAAATGGGCTTTCACACTTTAACTGCAAAACTCCCACCTTCCCCTCAAGGAATGCCAGGGATATCTTTCAGGGTATTATAAAAAATAAATAAATAGTTGTTAGCAAAATCTGTGTAGCTTACTTTTATGTAGCAGAAGTAATGGCCAGCATGGCAATTAAACCCGGTGTGTACTAGTACTGCATACAAAACATAAATAATTGGTTCCCCATTTGGTTGAGACATGTATGGTCGAATATCAAGATACTCGGGATATTTCACATCCTAAACAGAAATGGAAAGAGGTAAAAGGGACCATCATTTCCGAAGGCACAAACAGTCCACATATTCAGGTGCAGAATATAAAAGGGTGGTTCTAGGGCAGGATAACTTGGAGGAAATCCACTTAACACCATATTCTATGTTGTTCTAGCACAACCTAACATGTTGAACCACATTTCAAAAGACACAACGAACCCCTGGAGCATGCCTGAATCTAAGTATTTGATTCAATCCCACTGTATTCTTTATTTCCTTTGAACAAATAAGGATCCACATTAAGTAAATTCTTCAAATCCATCAGGATTTGGGAGCACAATCCCAATTCCAGACTTCAGTGACCACTTATTTTCTTTCTTTAGTAATTCAGGAATAAAATATTTATTTCTCTTGAAATCAACTTAATTTTCAACCACCTCCCATCTCCAGAAAGTAGGAAGAGGAAAGGAAAATCCAGTGTGCTACCAGACCAGAAAACAAATGAACAAACAAAATAAACTCTGATCAAAGAGTAGCAATTATCTAATAGGAAGTCCTCTTTGGATTTCAAATGACATGTCCACTCATAACCTTCCTGACAATGAAGCCCAAATGCAGTTAAATTACCAATTTTATTATGAGAAAGCCTAACCAGCTAAAAAGACATGTATTCATATACATAAGTATACTATGGGCTCAATAATGCTTTGACATTTTTTTCCACGACCAAGTGCTGGAAGAACTTAGAAAATTAGATAACAAAGTTAGTTAACTACTGAAAGTTAAGTTTAGAAAAGCTTAGCACAAAAGATTATTAATATTATCTACATACCTTAGCAATTTTTCCACCAGTAAAATTTGCAAAACGTTTGAGAGAAAGTGTAAGAACATTAGAGGATCTATGTATAGTGAACCTCTTTGAAGCTGGAACCATCTTTTTACACCTTGAAATAAACAGACATACAGATTTAGGAGGAATGATATGCACTCTTCTGGCATTTTAGTCTATCCCTTTCAGACATTCTAAATTAAGTTTCCAAAGAAAGATACTAGATTAAGAACCTCAATAGTGAAAATATTAAAAATGCAGGGGAAAATGCTTAATTAGCATGAAAGAAAAAAAGGCAGCTAAGACATAGGTCACTGATAATTTGTAAAAGTAGATAAACATACATTTCTCTTAACTCAGAAGAAACTGAAAGACCAATAAATTTTCAGAATGGCATAATTCTGTGAGAACAAAGCCCTATTCAAACACAAATGGAAGAAAAGTGAACATCAGAAATATCCAGGGAGGTAAAAACAAAGAAAAAATTTCCATGGTCTTAGAAAGGAAGTTGTCTTCCACACAAAAAGAATGTTCAGTAATAATAACTACCTGTATTACCTGAGTAGAAAAAGTACACTACTTAAAACAGATGAAACAGTGCTTGTGTAAAATAGGCACTGTTGACTATGAATAATAATCAGAATTAGAATTTCTAGCATATGTAGTACCCCTGCACAACAACTATGAGAGAAATCTTTCAATACTCTGTGAGAAAGTGACCCCCATTTCATTGGAATCCTTTTATAACAGAAGAGTCAACAGAAACGCTGCTGAACAAAGGCGTGCCTTCCCAAGCTGCATCTTCCTATGTGCTGGGACGAATGTTGGCATAAGGCTGACCTCTCCTCTCTCATTAAAGTTCCCAGTAATTAGGCACCATGTCTCCCAAGGGCACTGAGAGGCACACCTCTAAAGAATGTAAACATTTAGATATGTGTGCTGGCCCTTGCAGACTAGAAACAAGTGTCTTCCCAGATGGCATGGGAAGCCAAGGGAATCTAGAGGGGTTATTCAGAGGCATCAAACTTAAGTCGTCACCCCACCATCCCTACCACAGCAAATGGCATCAAGGTTTAAGCCATTATCCATCATACTTGCTACATTTGTAGGAGTTTTCTCCATCAAGCTGTTCCGGCTTCACAAATTGCTCCAATGCCTTGTTCACACTCTGAGCAGCCTGAGAAGAGAATAACATCAACACCACATTACCACCCATTGCCACTTTTAAGAAAAGACTCCAAGGTATAAAAACAAATACAAAATTTTACATAAAATTTTATATTGGTACACACAAAATTATTTCTCCTCCCATTAAAAATATTAAAGTGAGCCAAAACATCTAGAGAGGTGCTTCCTGCAGCATTAAAGTAGCATAAAGCTGGAAACAAACCATTTACCTACCAGCAAGAAATGAAACATGTAAACTGTGGTGCATCCACTAATCAGACTACCACCAAACTTCCAAAGCACGCACACAGAGATCCCATGTACATTCAATGAAAACAGCAGGTATAATTGCACTTTTACAAACTTCTGGACGAGTTTATTACAAACTCTAACAAAAGGTCACTCTGAGAGCAAGGCTCTTTTATATATAGATACATCTATATATATACATATATACATACATATATACATATATATATACATATATACATCTATATATAAAATGTTTCTCATCTTTATAAGTCTATATTACAACTGTAATGAGAAAAACAAAACTCCAACAAAAAATAGGTATTTAGAAAATGCAAGAAGCAAAACAATTACTGAAGAACCACAAAATTTTAATTTGGTTAATATGGGCATAAAAATCGACTTTATTAAGATTTATTAAAAAGTCAAAGGGTAATAAAAAGATTGTTTTCTGTGCCAAATACAAAGCTTAAAAATATCACCTCTAAAAATCTTAAACTATTAAAATTTTCAACTCATATTCTCTAACACGTGTAGCTAGTCTAAATTATAAGTGATCTATAAGTTACATAAATTATGACAGATGTTTAAAATTATCACAAGAATTATCACACTTACCTTTATCTCCAACGTTATATCAAGATATGGATCAAAAGTATCTGAAACGCCCTTGCAATTTAAACATTTAACTGAAATAAAAATAAAAATAAAAATGCAAGGATAAGTATAGTGGAGTCATCATGGGGATCCAACTATTAAAAATGACAAAATATGCCTTCCTGTGGCCTAGGGGTTAAGTTTCAGTGCAATCACCAATAAGCCTGAATATGACCCCTGGCCAGGGGGCTGACCCACATGGCACAGTGGTTGCCCGCTTCTCCCCTCAGCAGTGTGTTTCAGTAAGTCTGCCTGTTCTGCTCCCCACTCTCACTGGTGAGTCCTCTCATGCACCACCACCATTCCCCCAGCACCTCTGCACCTCTGACCTATACATTGGCTATTCTTCTATGCAAAAAAAAAAAAAAAAAAAAAAAAAAAGAAAGAAAGAAAAAATACTATCACAAAATAAAAAATTGAAACAAGGTATATTTTGCTCCTAATGGATCGGGGGGGGGGAATTACTACTATACAATGTAGGGCTGTGTCATAAACTTGGCTCCCCATACACTGTTAGTTGAAATGCAAACTGGTATAAGCTCTTGGAAGGATAATATGGCAGTATCAAAATGTTAAATATGCATACCATTTGATGTGGAAATTCTAACACAAAGAATTTATCCCTCATATACATGGATATAAGAAGAGATACACAAAGATGCAATGATGGTAATAAATCATTTTTAAAATAAGTAAATATCCAAAGACAAGGAACTAAAATAAATGGACTACTGCAACTATGAAAAGACTGTGTTAGACCTATATGTATTAAAAGACATCTAATGACAAGAGGAAAATAAAAGGATAAAGAGGAAAATTAGGAGTATCTCAAATGCTCCTACCTATTCATAAACCAGAAAACTACTGGAACTACTATTCTACAAATGGGACAGAAGCACATTTCCCATTATGATACTTCCCTACCATTTGCTTTATTTTTTTATTTATTTCAATTCCATTTTTGCATAGAACTGGGCTGTCGGCCAGCAGTGTGGAGGGGGTGAGGAGATTCACCAGACACAGAGTGGAGCCGAACAGGCAGACTGACTGAAATACTAGAGGCGTAATGCTAAGAGGCAGGCGAGACAGGAGAGGTCTGCTGCATCCTGTAGGTCACCTCCCTGGTGAGGAATTTAAGCCCAGGACACCTTGGTGATAGCCCTAAGACTTAAGGCCTAAGACTTAATGGTAGGAGGCCCCCTACCATTGCTTTTTGTTAAACCACATTCATGTCTCAACTTCAATTTCTTTTCCCTCCTCCACTCCCGCTCTCAACTTCATCAACTTTTAAAGTAACGTTTACCTCTTGATCTTAGGTAGCCTCCAAATATCTGACAAACAAGTGTGGTAGCCTGGGTGTGTCTGTCTAATCTGTAAAACAGTCAAACAATGATATGAGAGAAATTCTACAAAAATTATGGATGCTATAGCCAGGTTTCAAAAGTACAGCTATAAAAGAATAAAATTTCAAACATGAAAGTCACTAAATAAAAAGACATCAGTATGTGTGGCAGCCAGAGAATAATCTCACCTGACCAGAACACACTGAGGATTTGAAGAGAGGTAGGACAGTATGAACTATATTAAGAAGGAACATTGAAAGTAAGGCAGGAATTTGGCCCTGAAGCAAGAAAAGGAAAAAGCTAAGCAGGACTGTGACACTAAAAGTGTGGAAGGCAAAGAACAAAGAGTTTTCCTCTGTTCCACAGTCTGTCCTCATCCAGACAATGAAAACCTGCTGGGGTAGTGCTCACAACAATGGGAATGGAACAAGAGATTTACCGGGTATATTTAGGTGACAGTAAGTGCAATAGAACTTGTAATCTGTTTTTCCAATCTTCCTCTTGATCTACATTTATATTTTAAGGGAGAAAGTGCAAGAATTGGAAACTGATCAAGGTGAGGAAGTGCAGGGAACAAACGCTGATTTCAGAGGTTAGTGGTAAGCAGAGAAAAGGTCAGGCACAACTAGAAAGGAAAAATGGTTAGTTTTACATACACAGAGAGATGCTGATATAAGCAGATCCTCTAGTAATTTCTTTCTGTTCAAAGTTGTTTTGCCATAATGTTGGTGAGGGGAAAAAATCCCAGCCGACATTGAACAAAATGACTTCATTCACTTAGCTTCCAAGGACCTAGCTGTGATGTTAAATGAGGACTTACTGCACTCAGAAATTAAGTAACAGTAAGATCAAGATTCATTTTCTGACATCTATAATCAAGCAAATTTAAACTGTTATAGTAAGCATACCTTTTAAAATTCTAATCATTTAAAAATACTGCAAGTCACGAGGACAAGACAGCACAAAGACAAATGGTCAGGCAAACATAAAGCTACGTGCTAACTTAGCAACAGGTAGAATTAAATTCTGGTAAGACAGAAATGCAAAGAGAATAAATGTCAACACTCTTGTACTTACTTATTGCTGCCATTCAGGCATGCTTTTTGCATAGCATCAACAGTGTACTGAAGGAATTCGTGGGCATCTTCTTGGTTTCCAAAGCGGAAGTGCCTCGCTATACCTGGAGTTTAAATAAAGACATATTTTCACCATCACATATAACATGCTCAGATTATAACCCCCAAATGTTCCCTCTTATGACAATGTCAGTTAGAAAACAATGGTTAATTGTTTTTTGAGACAACAGTATAGACACAATCTAACTTGAGAACAGCTAGAATGTGGGCTAGTAGTCACAGAGGCACTTTAGTAAATTCACACTTGGGCTGTATTGTTTCATAAATTTATCTTTATGTTAGTACACACATCTTAAAATTAGTGCTAGATCTCCCTGAGAATCTATGTAAAATATAAAAATCCAAATCTAAATTCTACCCCAATAACCTACAGAACATATTAGTCTCAGATATACAGTAACATTTCAGAGCTACTTTTAATTGTCAAAACAGCTGCAATACAAAATCACATAATAAAAAAATAACACAAAAGTTTAAACAATATAACCATAAACATTACACAAAGAATTACATGTGCATAACTATATTAGTTTAAATTGCATGAAACTGCCAATTCTACCAGTTTTTACCAACAGAAATAGCGATTTCATGATTCAACCATGTGTCCATGTTGACACAGATAGCAATGACATTTTCTTAAAGAGTAAATCTAAAAATATTAATCATGCCTGCCATATGTATAATGAAACAAAATCACATCTGGCTAAAACTTTGCCAGGATCCAGTAATTTTAAAATGTTGCATTATCTACACACCTGTTAATAATACCAAGGACAGGGCCTCCCTGCTGATGCAAGGCATTAAGTCTCAGCACTATGAAGCTGTCAGCAGCCACTATAGCACAAGTTCAATCCCCACCCAGGGAGGTGACCCACATGGTGCTGCAGACCTCTCCTGTCTCACCCACTCCTCCCCTCAGCAGTGTATTTCAGTAGATCTGCTTGTTCTTCTCCCCACTCTGTCTCTGGTGGATCCCCCCTCACCCTTGTCCCGGATGTACCTCTGGCCTGCAGCCTAAGTTTTCCATGCATAAATAAATGAAGTAAAATCTTAAAAAAAAAAAAAAAAAAAAACAAGGGCCAATATACACACCTCTTTAATCTTCAGTAGCATTTTAGGCAAAAGGATTATAGCTTGTCACAGTATAATTATCCATTCCTACAATTACTGAGCTAGATACCAGATTAAGAGTTAGGGTTTTTTGTTTTGTTTTGTTTGGCATGCATTTTTTTATTCCAACTTAATTAAGATAATGTAATCATTCATTGCAAAAAACATTCAGAAAGCAGATAAGAAAATTTCATGTGACCTAGTGGGATCACTGCAATGTAAAAGTAAAATTTTAGTTATTTAAAAGTTATACAGAAAACGTGAAATTTACTTACAAATTTACTAAGCTATGAGTATAAATTTTTCTTTGAGTACAATTAATATTTTAATAGTTTCTATGTATAGTGTAATATTCACTCACTGAATTAAAGCCAATTCAAAACTAATCAAAGAGCCCTATAGGATAATATTAGAGTCAGTTATTACTCAGTACAGAAATCAAATATCTGAGCATAAGTCTTGTAAGAGTCATTAATGATTGTTTTTAAAGATTTATTTATTTATTTATGCATATAAGAACAGGGGTATAGGCCACAGTGCAGGGATTGAGGTGAGACAATTCACCAGAGACAGAGTAGGGACAGAACAGGCGGATCTACTGAAATACATTGCAAAGGGGAGCACCAGGCAAGACAGGAGAAGTCTGCTGTGCCATGTGGGTCACCTCCCTAGCCAAGGGTCAAACTTGTGCTGTAGTGGCTGCACAGAGCTTAATAGTGCTTGGACTTAACCTGTTGCACCACCAGAGAGGCCCTTATCAATGATTTTATTAAACAAACTGAGTTAATATTTTTTTAATTTACTTATGTTTAACTGAATATTGTCTTTATATGGTCATCTTTTAAGGTTTTAAAATGCACTAATATAGTAAATGTTTTACTAAAAATTTACTAAGACATTCACGTACAATAAAGTGTTTTTGTAATACACGGGGGCTCATATTTAATCAGTTAGGTCATTAAGAAACAGCTAGTTAATAAATACTAATATAAACTACTATAGATAATACTTACGTCGCATCTCATTAATGACAAACATCGGTTTAATAACATCCCCAGGGTTACTGAGTGCCTGGGTAATATGTGCTTGCATTGTACACATCATACAAAATCCTTCTGCATGACCTACAAGATAAGAGATGATAATGCTCCACATTAGTAAAATATGATTATATAAACATATCAAGGGTGTTGTAAATGAGGAACATACTTCTGAAATACCAGTAACAACTACAATGTTTTGGACATTGAATTATGTAATTTTATTCATTTTTTATTTAATTCTCTAACAAACCTAAGTTTGTAGAATACTGGCTGTATTTTATAAGCAGAAACTAAGTTGCAATGAGTTAAGCTGTCCAATGTTAACTAGTCACTAAGTGGACAAGAGAATTGAACTAAGTCACAACTCTTTTTTAATCTCAAAGCTAATGCTCTTAACTATTCTCTGTCTGGAGAAATAAGGAACAGTAAAAGAACATCTCCATATCAGGCATTAAAATCTCCCTGTGAATATTCAAACTTTGTGGCTTCTGTTGCATATTTTTCTTCTTTTCTTTACAACTTTAAAAAAATGTGACAACTATTCTGTGCTTATGACTAAGTGGTGCTACAGGCACCTAGTGGATAGCAACCACAAATGCTGTTAAAGTTCCTATAAAACAGAGGCTAGCCCCCATATCCAAGCATTACCCAAACATCAACAGGATTAAGGTTGAGAAACTCTGCCTTAAGCTAACTTTTTCTCAGAACCTACCTAACATAGCTTTAAAAGTCTCAAAAGAACCAAACAATTCCCAATTCACAGAACTATGTCCAAGAATAAGGCTCAAAAATATTTACAGGAATAAAAACAAAAATCCAGCCCTGACAATTTAAAATTCTAATCAAAGATGCAGGAACATCCATCAACAAGGAGAATACAAACAGAAACAGACCCAGAAATGACACAGATGTAATAGAATCAAAGGATAAGAACATTAAAAATGACAATATAAAATGACTAAAACTAAAGACACTATAAACATATTCCAAATACATACAAATAGGTCTGAATCTACTCCTGCAATGAAAAGTATAATCTCGGAGGTGAAAAACACTGGGAGGATTGAAAATAGATTAGACACACAAAAGGGAAAAAATCAATAATGAATTTAAGATTTAGCCATAGAAGTAAGCCATAATGAAACACAAAGAAGAAAAAAACACCTGAAATAACTTCAACAAAAACTCAAACATGTCAGTAATTTGGGACTACTTCAACTTATAAAATACATGCATTTGGCATGAAGGTAAAGAACAAATTTTTCAAGAAATAACTATACAAAGGCATTTTTAGGGTGATGGAGGAGTTTTGTATTCTCACTGAAGTGGAGGCCTACATAAATCTATACAAGTATTAAAATTCAGCGCCCCCCACCCTGGTGACACAATGGGTTAGGTCTTAGCACTATGAAGTTATCAGCAGCCACTGTAAGACAAGTTCTATCTGTATCCAGGGAGCTGACTGACCCACACCGTGCAGCAGACCTCTCCTGTCTTGCCCTCTGCTCCCCTCAGCAGTGTATTTCAGTCAGTCTGCCTGTTCTGCTCCCCACTGTCTCTGGTGAATCCTCTCACCCCTGTACCTCTGGGCTAATACCCCAGTTTTTGTGTACATAAATATTTTTTTAAAAAGTGCTAAAATTCACAGATCTATATAACAAAGAATTCAATTTTACTGTTAATGGTGAACATACAAGTATTTTTTTTTTTAGTGACTGAAGTTACACAAATCTGAAACAGTAAATCCTCAGGTCTACGAATCTCAACAAAACTCAAAGATAATAGAGAGAAAACTACACAAAGGGCCAAGTTGCTAAAGCAATACTAAAAAGAAAATCTTAAAACAGCTAGAAATAAAAATATGTATTTATGTACATAGGAATAGATTCCTTTTCATCATAAACAATGTCAGCCAGAAGACAACAGAGTAACACCTGTCCAGTATTAAATGAAAAATGTTAAAATAGAATAACACATTCTATGAAAACATCTTTCAAAAACAAAGATGAAATTTCCACTTATGTAAGTTGGAGCAGAAGTACTTTTCTCTATTCCTAGCACTAAGTATACGAAAAACCCTGGACATCGTATTTATAACAAGTATAATAATATTGTAAGGTAGAGTGAAAGTGACAGACAAGTTAGTAACTTCAGGACCAAAGACTGATAGGTGGTGAGTTCCCTGGTTTTTCTTTGGCCCTTTTATGTTCCATATTTGAAGCTGAAGAAGTCAGCAACTTGGACGTACCAACACATGAAGAGAACAAAGACCCAATAAAAACCTGTCCCCTCTACCCAAAGGACTTGGGAGGCATCAACCTAGCAAGACAGAAAACTTTACAAAATAATCACTCAAGTAAAGAACCTAGACCTCTATGAACCAGGCTATAATGAGGCACCCACTGGGGTAATATTACAGAAGATGGGCTAAGAACTGGAATTTCATACAATGTGGGCTATAACAAGCAATACCCCCACTCCGTGATGTAAGATTAAGTGAGAAATCCAGACTTCTACCCCCACCAAATAGTGAGAAGTATCTCCAATACCCCACAGAGGTAATATCAGGATCAGGAATTACAGTATTGGTAAAAAGTGTTTACCATATAATTACATTATATGGTAAAAAGTCACTTTCATCACAAAGTCAGAGGAGACTACATGTGGAGTGGAAACTTCTACTCCCACTCAGCAGGAACAAAGAACATCAACCCCAACCTTGGTTGTAAATGGAGACAGAGTGGGAGGCCTGAACCTATATACCTCTGCCTAATACCATGTCAGTCACCAGAATGGTATAAAGAAAGCCAGCTAAAACCCAGATGTTTAGAAGTTAGATAAAACCCAGAGTATCACAAGGCAAAAATGTTCAGGTTCAACTGGCAATCACCCATCATACCAAGAACCAAGATAATTTAAACTGAGTGGAAAAAAAAAAAGAATAGATGCCAACAATTAGTGACAGAATGTCAGAATTAGCTAACAAACCTTGTAAAGCAGCCATAATAAAATGCTCAATAGGTAAATTATAAACACTCTACAACAAATTAAACAATAGACTCAACAAAAACATAGGATAAAGAACAAAATGGAAATTCTGGGCATTGAAAATACAATAATCAAAAGAAGCTCAGTACATGAATTAAACAGAAGAACACTTAAGACAAAGGAAAGAACCAGTAAACTTAAAGATAGAACAATTGGAATTAACCAAAAAGAACAGGAGAGAGAAAACTGGGAGGGAAAATGAGCAATGCCTGAGGGACCTATGGGACTCTAATCAAAAGATCTAATGGACCTCCCTGGTGGTGCTAGGGTTAAAGTCTCAGCACCATCAAGCTACAGACGCCTCTGCAGCATGAGTTCTATCCCCAGTCAGGGAGCTAGCCCATTTGGTGCAACAGACCTCTCCTGTCTCGCCCTCTGCTCCCCTAGGCAGTGTATTTCAGTAGATCAGGCTGCTCTGCTCCCCACTCTGTCTCTAGTGAATCCCCTCACCCTCCTGCACTTCTGGCCTACACCCCAGTTCTTGTATGCACAAATAAATAAAAGTAAATCTTTAACAACAACAACAACAAAAGATCTAATATATGCATCCTCAATCTGAAAAGGAAAGGAGAAAAACAGTTGGGTTGGAAAACTATTACAAGAAATTAAAGCTAAAAATTGCCCAATTTGGCCAAAGATATAGTTCTATAGACTGAAGAAGCTGAGAAAACAACAAAAGGAAAATTATGCCAAGGATACATCATAAACTTCTAAAAACTAAAGACAGAAAATATTTTGAAAGCAATGAAGCTATTAACCTACACAGCTTAATTACTGGAGAAAAATAATTTGAATGACAGTTAACTTCACATCAAAAACCACATACACCAGAGGAAGAAGAACAATTTTCAAGCACTGAAAGAAAGACTGTCAACCCAAAATCCTATACCCAGTGAAAATATCCATCAGGAACAGAGGTAAAATCAAGATGTTCTCAGATGAAGCAAAGTTAAGAGAAAGTGTCACCAGTAGACTTAGTCTAAAAAAGTAACTAAAGAAAGTTCTCTAAACAAAAAAAGGAAATGATTTCTTTAAAAAAGAACCCTGGATCATCAAGAAGAATAAAACACAATAATTAAAAGTATAGGCAAATACAAATTTTTTTTAATTTTCTATATTATATAAAATTGAAACAAAATTTATATCACTGTTTGATGTGGTTCAAAACATATTGAAAATATTTAAAAGAATTATATGACAACTATGGGGAGAGTAATGGAAGGTAGAAGGTACAGTAGAATCATTCTATCTGCTATCAAGGTTTATTACATAGCTATAAGATTGTATAGAGGAGTATCTCAACAGAACAGAACAGGGAATCTAAAAATAGATCTACACAATATGACCAAGTGATTTTGTTAAAAAGGTGCAAAAGCAATTCAATAAAAGAAAAACAGCCTTTTCAAGAAACAGTGCTAGAGCAAATGGATATCCACAGACAAAAAGAACTAACCCCAACCTAAACTTCACATTATACAAAAATTAAGTTAAAATGGCAGTTAGGATCACAGACCTAAATGCCAAACTATAAAAATTTTAGGAAAAAAATAGGATTGACGGTTAGTCAAAGAGCTCTTAAACTTGACACCAAAATCACAAACCATAAAAGGAATCCATAAATTGAAAATTTTCATTCTGTTAAAGACCTTGTTAAGAGAATGAAAAAACAAGCCACAGACTGGGAGAAGATATTTGGAAATTACATATCCAACAAAGGCCTATTTTCTAGAAGTATAAAGCACTCTCACTTAGTGGTAAAATTACAGCATTAAACACATGTTAGAAAAAGACAGATATCAAATAACTAAAACTTTCGCCTTAACCTAGAACAGAGCAGAGCACATTAGATCCAAAGTAACCAGGAGACAGTAACAAACATCAATGAAACAGAGTAACAATAAAACTAAGAACTAGTTATTTGAAGATCAATAAATATGAAACTCTTCAAATTCATCAGGAAAAAGAGAATAGACACAAATCATCAGGAATGTGAGAAAGAAAATCACTACACATCCTAAAGAAATTAAAAGGAT